GGGGGGGGGGGGGTGATGCTCTCCATTCTGAGAGCATTGCATGAGACAGGCCCCTGAGGTCCTGTGGCTACTCTGGAGGGAATCAGGGGTGGAGCAGTGCAGTGAGGGAGCCAGAGTCTCTCTCTCCCCCCCCCCCCCTTTGTGCGCTGCCTGGGGGGCCGTTGGCATATCGGGGGCCTCAGGGATATCAGGCCCTGCTTCAGCGAGTGGGACAGGAATGACCTTTTCCGTGAGAATGGCACTGCGACCTATGACCAGGTCACACCTTGACCTCTTCTGTACCATGTCAACCTGGCAAGGAGGAAGCTGGAATGATAGTGTTTATTTTGGGGTCCCTAAAGCCCCACCCTCATGTAAAAAATAAGGGGGGGGCCAGTAGGTGTTTGTGAGCAATGGCTCTGGTTCGACGAGGTCAGGGGACTGGCCCTCTGCCCTAAGGCGCGCGCAGGCGGATTGCTGTCCCGTCGCCCGATTAGTCACATGCCGGCATAATGACTCAGTGTCGTCCCCGACGGGAAGCTCGCGAAAGGGAAAAGGCCCGGCGATGACATATTTCATAAATGAGAAAAAAATACTTTAAAATGTAAGGCAGAGTGTGCAGGGATGAGACATTCCAGTGAGGTTATGTTTATTTTTTAGTTTCCAGATACTACATCTCCTATATTATGTAATTCAGCTAATTGTGCTTATATCTTGCCTAAAGAAGATCTGCAGTGAGATCAGAGCCTTCAAACCTCCGTAGGATATACAAACGATCCTCAGCACAACGGCACGTTTCTCCATCCTAAAGTGGAATATAATCTCACCCGCTGGCTGCCGTTACGGCCAACACATTTATCTGACACGCACATTCTCTCCTGCCTCCAGAGACACAGCCTTTCATGCCTGCTGCTGTTTTTATTGAGGTGATATTTTAGATTTTTTTTTTGTCAGGGTATTTTTTGCAGTGCTTCATATGTCTGTTGAACTTTTTTAAACAATAAAAAAAAAAAAAAACTGTGGAAGTGACACACCATGACAGGTATTTTCATCTGCTCTTCCTCGCTGAATGGAGCGCGGTCTCCGGTTCGGTCACGATGGTGCGGGAATGCCTGGAATTAATAGGGGGCAGACCCAGTGGATTTGGGAGACACGACTCCCCAGGAGAGGTAATGAATTGCAGTGCCGGTGTCCCTCTTCCGCCTGGTCAGCTGTCACGGTGTTTGCCGGCTGGTCCAGACTTTGGATAATGCGTTCGGGCGGGTGTTTTGGTTGGCAGCCAGCTCCGGGCTCTCGGAACACCCCTCCCCCGGTCATCCTGTGTTTCCTGTCCCTCCCCCCCATATACATTAATACGGTACAGGTAAGTGCGTTGCTGCACCCACCAGACCACAAATCACCTCAGGGATGAGAACCTGAGTGCATCCGTGTGGAAGGTGATACCTCAGCACCTCACTAGTCCAAATGGACCAGTGTGAGTTTTTTTTCCAGTGACTGAAGTGCCAATCCTGCCACCAACCCCCAAGTTATTCCCTGTAAATTGGAGGACCACCTTATAGGGCTGGATGTAGATTAACATCAAACCCAGGATGACGCAATTGCAGGTTAAGGGCCTCGCTCAAGGGCCCAATGGGGTAGAATCACTTCTGGCATTCATAGGATTTGAACCAACAACCTCCTCAGCCTCAGAACCACCACTCCACCCATAAGATAGACACACGATTAAAAGTGCATTCCACCCAAAACAGATATAAATGCAGTCTTGATAATTACGTGACAGTACACTGCATGACCTGCAGAGGCGCTGTGGAGACTCATGATGACTTGATGAGAGTGAATGTGACTGTCGCATCTCCCCGTGACGTGCTGCACTTGGCCAGCGGTCTGGCTCCTGCTACCTCCGGCAAGGTGCTCCACCTGGCCCGCTCCAGCGAAGCCCATAAGCGTCTCGGTGAATCCATAAGCGGGGCGGATTAAAGGCGTCGCCTGCAGGGGGTTGCGGGATTGGCTGGGGCAGCTGGGTGTCGGAGGGAGGCCGGTCTTTAATGGGTTTAGGATGAGGTCTTGGCTTCACGCCCCCACCTGGCATGCCGAGTCCGCCGGGGGAGCGGAGTGTGATGGCGCCCTCCAGATGCCACGGCGGTAATAAGGATGCCCATGGTGTGCTTGATTGCGCTGGCTGACGATGTCCGCTGCTGCCCTTGGTGCGGTCTCACTCTCACACACACACAGTTTGTTTGTCTTTGTTCATCGTGTGACACTTTTTCATGCCCCCTGTCTATATGCCCCCGTCTCTCTCTGCCCCCTGTCTATATGCCCCCGTCTCTCTGCCTCCTTTCTATATTCCTCCATCTCTCTCTGCCCCCCCCATCTCTCTCTGCCCCCTGTCTATATCCCCCCCGTCTCTCTCTGCCCCCTATCTATATCCCCCCCGTCCCTCTCTGCCCCATGTTGGTATGCCCTCCCCGTCTCCCTTTGCCCCCCCGTGCTCTCCCCCTCCTCCCGCCCCCCCCCCACACCCTGCTCCCTGCCTGCTGTCCTGTGTCTCCTGTCTCCAGGCTGTGGTCTCACCCTTGCTTCCCAGGGGACCCCTGTTCTCCTGGCGACCTTCCCGATTGGCTGTTGCGAGCAGCAGGTGTCACACCGCATGTGCTTACCTTGGTGTTCCCCCGTCGCCACGCTAATGAGGCATCTCCCTCTCCGGCGATAGCGACTCGCGCGGCTCCTGTCCAAAGCGCCCAGTCCGATCTGCGGCCGGGAACGTGGCCGACGGCGTGATTATGTTGCTGGGCACATGCGGGAGTATGGGAAGAGCCGTTAAATAATTCATGCCGCCTGACATCAGCGGTATTTCGTCAAGTCCCAGCGAGCTCAGTCCTGATCTGGTTCACTGTCTGTTTCCCAGATTCAGCTCATGGTTTCAGAACGTATCACCAGAGGCTGTGATTTCTCAAATCATTCATATAACAATGTCATTATTTTAACTAATAAAATTAAAATCAGTATTTAGACCTGAATGGTGATTAAGTAACTTTTAATTTAGCTTTCTCTAAATAAAAGCTGCAGAGTAATGCTCTTGCTTCTGTAAGGCAGGCAGAAAGCAGTGCAGTTCGGCGTATAAATAATCACAGTTATGTAACGTACCGTATGTTTAGTTTGTGTTTCAGAACTTTCTCGAACGAGAAAAGCGGTGGAGTCGCTGGCAAGAATTTGCCGGGAAGTCAGCTCAGATTGTGTGAAGTATGAAACATATACAAAGAAAAATCTGTATAAACGAATACTCCTAATGAATATTCCTTCCAGTCCTTTGGGTATTTTAAGCAAAACCCCCTTGTCAAAATCACAAAATGCTGTGGAGAAGAGATTCTCCCCCCCCCCCCCCCCAGGATTGGGGGAAAAGGCCATACGCTTGAATGGCAGAGCAGAGGGGAGGCTGCAGCGAGGTGATTAAGAAACCAAGCTCCTGTTTCCACATTCTATTACCATCCTCGGTGCTTCCCAGATCCTGGCCATCCTGTCTGGGCCTCGGCACCCCCCCTGCCGCTTACTTATCTGAAGGAAAGAGATCAAATTTGTCGGATTTAAGTTGCAGTCTCTCAGATTCGCGGCAGAGCGGGAGGGCTCCAGAGATCGTCCACCATCTCGCAGTCTTTTGGGCTGAACCAACTCTTCACAGGAGGTGCTGAACAGGCAGTTAGGGCCATACCAAATTTATCAGCGGGCGGGGGGAGACATAATACTGTGCCAAACCCGTCAGGATTATATTAAGTTGGGGCCAAACCTGTGCAGTCCAGGGTAGATGGGTGGTAACTGTCTGAAGTGCAAGTGAGGACTGCAAAGTGTAAGTAATTTAAAGACTTTATAGTGTAAGTAAAGACTGCAAAGTGTAAGTATAGTATGAGTGTTATATGTTAAGGGCAAAAATTAGCGTCACTGTCAAGAACATGGATATGAAATCTAAATTGCTTCAAATCCCAAGTGTAGTTATGCAGTTGTACCTTTGATGGTAGCGAGTCTTGTTCTGGTAACATCCAGTTGGATTAAAGGAATATAAAGTATTATAGTGTTATGGTCTTGCAGAGGATGTCTGCGTGTGTCTTGACAGTCTGTATCTGTGACGGCAGGTTTTTCCCCTGCAGTCATTTACATGCTCTGATTAAAATGAAATTAACAAAAACACAACAAGCTTCCATTTTGTTTCTTTCCACATCTTGTTTTAATCGTCCGTGTTTTCGTTTCCCCTATGTGTAGCTAGCTAATGGGACTGACATCGTTACCCTGACATCGTTAAGTCAACCCTCTGAAATATTTATGCCGGCTGGTTTATTAATGTACAACCCGGCCCCCCATGGAAGGACAAGCAGGATAACATGGGGGAGGGCGGCACTGTCTCTGTTTCTCCAGTGGAGGCGCTGCATCTCGGCACTCTGATGGCGGCCCACGGCTACTTCTTCCCCATATCGGACCACGTGCTCACGCTGAAGGATGACGGGACCTTCTACCGTTTTCAGGTGAGGTTTGAGACTCGCTGGTGCCTGTTCACCACGAATACTTACTGGGCCTTAACAAAGCAGTTTAGGAGGCAGCAGCTAGCAATATGGTTTAAAATGTAGATGTGGGCCCGGAAGGTTGTTGGGTTTAGTCCCCAGTCACTTTGTTTAATCAGCAACAGATATTATTGTGTTAAATGCAGTCATGTGGTCCAGAAGGTTGTTGGGTCTAGCCCCCTGTCACTTTGTTTAATCCACAGCAGGCTGTATTGTGGTCAAACATATAGACATGTGTCTGGAAGGTTGTTAGGTCTAGTCTCCAGTTGCTTTGTAAAGCTTACTCTTATACTAGTTATTAGCCCTGATTTCTCCTGTATGATGTTCAGCTGTATAAATGCTTTAAAACTGGGTCTGGTGGGTATGTAGGGGGTGGTCATTAAGCTGGCGAGCCGGCAGGGTACTCCAGGTAGCTAGGTCCCCCAGGCATGACGAGAGCTGGGCGCGCTTTGCCTGACACTCTTTTTAATGGGCATCCAGAGCAGGGTGCAAAACGTCAGACCGCGTTAGTGTGAAACAGAGCCCCCCCCCTCCCCAGCAGGAACGTGACCTCATCCCTTATATGGGTGACCTGAGCAGCTCCATACTGAGGCTAAACTCCACCTCTGTGCGCATTAACCAGCCTCTGGATTTCGGGAGCAGGCTGTGCCCCCCCCCCCCCCCCCCCCCCACACATTGGTCTCCGCGATGACAGCAGCCCCTGAGTACCACACCAATTTCGAGCTCCGATTCTCAGCACAATCTCAGCGGTTACATTCAGTAATTTCATTTTACTCATAAATTCCAGCTATATATTTATATATAATATATATAATTACGTCTCTGAATGGCCGTTTTCTGATCCATCGGCCACTGGGGGCCCGGCATCACGCTTCAGCCCACCTGGCAAAGCTTTAAACACCCGAACGTCAGTACAGATATCCGATTGGCTGTCACCGCCGGCAAAGTGCTCAGCCTGTACTTACGTGGGTGTGAGGTTCTGCTAAACGCTCATTGAGTGTAATGAGCCCTTTTTGCCGTGTTTCCCTCGCAGACTCCGTACTTCTGGCCCTCGAACTGCTGGGAACCTGAAAACACTGACTACGGTGAGTAAGACCCCGCGCGGGAGAGGCTATGGCCTGGCGGGGGCGCTCTGGCGCACTCTGCGACAGGCACTGAGTTTCACCTTAAGAGACGAGGAGTTTGTTTTAGCAGCTCTGGATCTCCTCCTTTGAGTCCCCATGCTTTTCCCCCGGTGGCTTTTACGTAAACGCAATCGGGCACGAGGGACGAGGCCTGAGAGCGGCACCTACAGCACGCAGTCATTCTGCTCTGCGGGACAATTTGAGCTTAAGGGAAGGCTATTGGGACAGCCCGTGGTTCCCGCCCCCCTCAGCAAACGATCGCGAGGCAGACCCTCCTACCACATGCGGATTGGATAAAGATTACTAACCCCGCCCCCAGCGAAAAAACAGCCTTTGCTACAGGTGCTATTTAGATTTAGTGGAATTCAGCGGCTGTTTGGCACATTACGCCGAGCCGTTAATCACTTCTGTGGTAAAGGCGCGGTTTGTCGCCGACGGTTACCGTCAGCCCGCTGTGGGGGGGGCGGGGCGCTCTGATGCTGCTGTTGCTCCTCACCTACCTGTGTACGTATAAGGAGTCGCAGCTGCCAAGCCTCCCTATGCTACCCGCTAACACTGAGTGTCTCTCCTTCCCGCTGGATTTGCTCACCGTGCTGCTCTTTCCAGTGAATCGATACGGAAATGGAAGATGTCGCCCTTTTATTATATTGCCTCTCTTGGTCCTGCTCTCCCCAACATCACTACTCACTTTAGAGTAGGGCGTAGTCACTTTAGACTGTAGGGCCTCAATGATCCCCCCCCCTCACATCAGTGGTGCCAGGTCTGTGCCGTTCACCCATTGGCCATGTGCTTTTTCCCTGGACCAATCACTTGTCAGCCTTTGGGGTCTTTAATGAATGCATTCAGAAAGGCGAAAGAACATGCAGTCAGGCATGTTAATGCATTTTGCATCAGCCTGAAATGTATTGAATCATGTATCTGTATCGTGTAGAGCTGGTAATATGCAGCAGAACAGGGCTTTTCATGCAGTGTAACTGCCTGATTATATCTTGAGAGTGTCTCCCCACGGTGGCCATTGGGGGCACCATTTCAGCTAGACCTATACATCAAAGCAGCCAGCGAGAGAGAAAAAAAAACTCTTTCAAGCCCTGAACAATAACTGGCCTTTTACATTAGAGGACGGCTTGATGCAATCTGCAGCAATGCCTGAGTTTGCCTGCTCAGCTCCGCGCTGCGGCTGGCAAACTGGCCGGTCGGCGCCCCCTAGGGACCAGGAGTCGCCTCTACAGAGGACCTGCGTTTCTTATGCCCCGTCAGTAAACCCAAGTGTTGGACCCAAGTCATGTCCGTGGGGGGGGGGTTGGGAGGGGTTTAAACCCTGCCCCAGCTTAGTGTGTGTGCTGTTTGATCCTCTACCCATGTCTTTGCTGGTTTCCTACTGGTACGTCCCAGTAGCTCTAAACTGGCCATAAAGGCGCCCATCAGTCTGATGGTGCGCTTTATTGCGTTTGTGCGTGCGTGCCCTGTGATGGACTGGCATTCCGTGCTGGGTGTTCCCCTGCCTCATACGCTGTGCCCGCAGCTCTCCATATCCCCCGTGTCCCTTCGGCGCGGCGCCGTGCGGTACGGACGACAGATCCCGTTACAGGGCGGCTCTACCCCGACGGCAGGCGACGACGGCCCCGTTTGTTCTGAGTGGGCTGCCAAAGGCTGCCCTGTCAAGAGCCGTTCACCCGACTCGGCTAGTTACGCAACTTTCCGTTTTTACCCTCCCACCGTCACCCAGTGCTCCTTTCATCGTCTCTCAAACCCAGCCTCCGAAGACGATGCCCATTTTTCCCCCTTCCTTCTCCGCCAAGGCTCATTACCAGCCAGCCAGTCACAGTGCCCTTCAGGCTATTTTGGGCACTGCCGCTCCCGGCCTCGCTGGTGCTACCCTCCGCCACCAGTAGGCGGAGCCCCGTCGACTGGATGATGTTTCTCTTTCAAGAGACGGTTCTCGTAAGCCCCGGGGAGTGGGGGGGGGGATCAGACGGATCGATCGGTGGGGCCGGACTCGGCGGTGGGATCCGATAATCCCCCGATGCTGACTCACTCGTCCTCACCCTGCTTTTAAAGCCGTTCCTACTCACCTTCCGTGGACGACCCAACCCAGTACAGGCGCCTAATGCACTAACCAAAGAATTAGCCGGGGAAAAAATATTTGAAAGAACATCTAGCATCGTCAGTATTGTACAGCATGCACAGTAATTCTGGAGGACAGAATGCCCCCAATTCTGTAAAAACAACAGAATATCGTCACTTCAATGTATTTCACTTTTACATCCATGTATAAATTAATATATTTAATTTAAAAAAATCCATCCTTCAGGCTGCTGTGGTCACTTTTAATCATGCAGCAGCATATTTGTAGCGCCTTTTACAGTCACCCCTCTGCTGTTCCTTGTGAATCGTAAGCCCTTTCACTGGGAGAGCCGCTTACCTCCCAGACAGGAGGGGGCGCTGTGCCAAAGTGAGCCGCTTCGGGAGGAATGCCCCGCAGCCTTGCTGGTGTGCCGAGTGCCCCCACCCGGCCTCCCTGCCAGCCACGCGCCCCTCCTCTCACCCCGTACCTCTTTTCTCTCCCTCCCTCAGCGGTTTACCTCTGCAAGAGGACAATGCAGAACAAAGCCAGGCTGGAGCTTGCAGACTACGAGGCTGTAAGCTCCCCTCTCGACGCTACCCCGCCCCCCCTCTGTTAGCTGTATCTCCTTCTGACACGTCACCGATGGACACATACATATATACTTTGTACCTTAATGGTTTCTCTATGACAATAAGCATCACGGTTCCTTAACGTCATCCATGCATGTCTGGGCTGTTGCTATTATGAGGTGTCGCTCTTAACTTTGTGTATGTTTTTGTTTTCGCTTCAGGAGAGCTTAGCGAGGCTACAGAGGGCGTTCGCACGGAAATGGGAGTTCATATTCATGCAAGCAGAAGCACAAGCAAAGTGAGTGGGGTTCGCGTGTGGAGCCGCCCTACTGGCCACCCGGGAATCACCCCACATGAAATCCACACCATGTCACTGCCTAGGCGTCCTCGCCTGCTTTCTCAGCTCACTCTCTGCCCATTTCCTGAGCGTACACTAGCTGTAAACAGTATTTTAGCTGCTGATAACGTGGCGACGGCTTGGCAGGCGTGTTAAGAATGTCCTCGTCTTTCCCTGTCGTCCAGAGTCGATAAGAAGAGGGACAAGATTGAGCGCAAAATCCTCGACAGCCAGGAGAGAGCCTTCTGGGACGTGCACAGACCAGTGGTGAGTGATGGCTAGCTGCCTGGCTATTTCGTCAAAGGGGCTGGCACGGTCCTGAGGTTAGCGGAGCCCCCCCGAGGGAATTGCAGGGTGGGGGCCAGGTGCTTTGTGTTTTTAGAGGTGGGGCTCAGCAAGCTGTTCATAGGACCCGGGTATGTGGTCCTGGGATGGAGAGCTGTGTGAGGGATAAAGTGAGCGTGTGCGTATGCGTTTACGTAACACCATATCGACAAAAGTATTGGGACACCTGGCCATTATACCTACAGCCACCTCTCTTCTGGGGAGGCTTTCCACAAGGTTCTGGAGTGTGTCTGTGGGAATTTTTGCCCATTGATCCGGAATAACATTTGTGAGGTCAGGCACTGATGTTGGATGTGAAGGCCTGGCTCACAATCTCTGTTTTAGTTCATCCCAAAGGTGTCTGATGGGGTTGAGGTCAGGGCTCTATGTGGGCCAGTCAAGTTCTTCCACACCAAACTCACCCAACCATGTCTTTATGGACCTTGTTATGTGCATTGGAGCACAGTCATGCTGGAACAGAAAAGGACCTTCCCCAAACTGTTCCCACAAAGCTTGAAGCATAGAATTGTCCAAAATGTCTTGATATGCTGAAGCACTAAGAGTTCCCTTAACTGGAACTAAGGGGCCCAGCCCAAGCCCTGAAAAACAACCCCATACCATTATCCCTCCCCCACCAAACTTTACAGCTGGCACAATGCAGTCAGGCAGGTACCGTTCTCCTGGCATCTGCCAAACCCAGACTCGTCCATCAGACTGTCAGACAGAGAAGCGTGATTCCTCACTCCACAGAACACATTTCCACTGCTCCAGTGTCCAGTGGCGGCGTGCTTTACACCACTGCATCTGACGCTTGGCACTGACTTTGTGATGTGAGGCTTGCATGCAGCTGCTCGGCCATGGAAGCCCATTCCATGTAGCTCCTGGAGCATCATTTCTATGCGGGAGTTAATGCCAGAGGAAGTTTGGAACTCTGCAGTTATTGAGTCAACAGAGCGCTGGTGACTTTTACACACTACGCTCCTCAGCTCTCGGTGACCCTGCTCTGTTACTGTACGTGGTCTGTCACTTCGTGGCGGAGTTTCTGTTGTTCCTAAACACTTCCACTTTGCAGTAATACCACTTACAGCTGACCGTGGAATATCTAGCGGGGGAGAAATTTCACCAACTGACTTATTGTGAAGGTTGCATCTATGACAGCATTACGCTTGAATTCACTGAGCTCTTCAGAATGACCTAATCTTTCACAAATATTTGTAAACCCGACTGCATGTTTAGGTGCTCGATTTTATACACCTGTGGCAATGGATCTGAATGAAACACCGGAATTCAACGATTGAGGCGTGTCCCAATACGTTTGCCCATGTAGTGCGTGTATGTCATTGTATGTTTGTTTGTGTATGTGCATGATCCTGTGTTCGCTCGCAGCCGACTCGCCACGCCCCCTTTCCGCCAAACCCTTGTGCTTGTAGGACTGCGCAGCCGCACATTGATTCATCCCTCCAGCTGCGCTACACATTATCAGTTTCCGCTACGCCGATCCGTCCTTTCACAGGCAGGCGGGGAAAGGCGCCGCACGCCTGTATATGGACCCGGAGCGTTTCGGGGGACGGCTCGGGAGGGGAGCGGGGGCTGTGCGCTTCCAGTTACTGGGGAAAGTCGAGCTCCGTCTTAGCAACAAAACATTTGATTTCTAATTTGCCCATTAAGGCATTAAGGCCAAAGCCTTAAGTGATGCTTAATGACCAATCAATGGATCAGTTCTGGTCCGCTTCTCCCAGCACCCCCCCCCCACGACTCTGGGGTAATTGGTATAATCCTTCAGTGTCTGAACCTGTGTGCTGCCTACACATTGCATACATCCATCATTCCTCAGCTCCCTTATGATGTTCTGGAAGTTTCCTTTTCTGTCCCAGTTTTAGCAGCGAGCCAGAAACCCCGCAATCGCATGCGACCGGCTCACGGCGGGGAAATATCTGGATGATTCATGTGCATAGATTGAGCCACCGCGCCGTGCCGCTCCGCCCCACCCCCCACCCCGTAACCTGTGCGATCCACATAGCGGCTGAGCGCTAAGGGGGGGGTCTGTTTTCTGGTGCGTTCTGCGTCCTTGTCAGTCTCCCAGCCGTCCTCGTTCATTAGCTTGTTAGTGCTCGGGGGGGGGGGACAGTGTTTTGGACGGCCAAAGGCATCCCAAGTTGGCACCGCCCAGTCGGTGATGTCTCACCAGCTTGTGTGGTCCGTCGAATTACCGTATGATTACCTTTGCTGATCTGCGCACGATTGAAGACGATGCAAATCACAGCCCGTTTTCACATGAAACCCGGTTCTCTCTTTAGAATCAATAATGCTGTGGTAGCTAGTGGTGTGTGACTCAGTAGGTTGGGACCCGCTGCCTTTGATCAGAAGGTCGCTGGTTCAAATCCGTTGGGCCCTTCACCTCTGATTGCTCCAGTAACCATCTGACCCTGCTTTTCTCTGCTACGTGGTTAGTAAACAGGTCTACACCCCCATGGCAGAAGGGGGCCCCTTGATTTCTCGGGCCACAGAATGGAGGGAAGTTCTCTCTCTCTCTCTCTCCTCCTCTTTGTACCAGTGTATCTGGGCCCCTTTCGGCCCCACTGTGAAGCGTTTTTGTTGGTCCTTCACCTGGAGAACTTTAGGAGTGTTTTAACTTCCATGGCTTAAGTCCAACAGAGCACAGGCAGAAAGTTCAGGTCCATGAAGTACAAATCCAGACCAAGGTTTTGTTAAACCCAGCCAGTTGAATGGTAAATGGTAAATGGACTGCATTTATATAGCGCTTTTTACTACTCTTACGAGTACCAAAGCGCTTTACAGTTATGCCTCACATTCACCCATCCACACTCACATTCACACACCGGTGGCGGAGGCTGCCATGCAAGGCCATGCAGTTGAGTACTCTGTGACTGTGATTCTTTATCCTCAACTGGCTGGTTGGAACAATATCTTGGTCTGGAGTTTTACTTTCTGGGCCTGAACATTCCACCTCTGTTATAGAGAAGGTTGGGTGAAGTGGTCTGACTTGATGTGGTCCAAAAGGGCGAATGGCCCAATCCAGCAGGTACTGTGCCGTAACACACCTGTGTGACCATCCCTGATCTTCCTGGATACCTGCCCTACAGTGTTAGCACGCTGCTCCAGGCTTCTCAGTGAACTTCCATCATTTAATCTGGACTCGCTTTTGCTCGACGTCGATCAAAATGTATTGCAGCTTCCCTACGTCGCGTTTACATTCCTCTGCGGCTAATGTTCCGCTACCCCGAGTATATACATGAATATATGAATATATCAGTCCGTACATACAAACTAAACACACGGCCGCCGTTTGAAGTTGGATCTCGTTATAGCCCACGAGCTGCTGTATTTCAGAGCTGGGAAGCAGGCGATGGCAGTCTTAGGTCTACGCACCCACACCTCGTTCTGGGCAGCTGAAATACGTGTATTTTTGTATCACCTGGTATCTCTGTGAACTTGCACGGTTAACATTATTAAAATTCTTATGTGGATGTTATGTAAATGAGGGTTTTGGAGCCAGAACATTACAGATTATACATAATCGGTTTGTGTGGGGTGATTAGAGAGTTGGGTCTCCTTGGTTATCTGTGGTTAATTATCCTTAGTGTTTAAAAGTGACCTGCCTATTGATTGGAGGGATCCTCCTTGCAGTCTCCAGAAACGTCTTCATGTCTTCAAACTGAATGGTTATTATTTCCCACCCCCCCACCCCCCAAAGACATTTTCTGACTCCTCATTAATGTTTTTAACTTTTTATTTCTCCTCGGCGTAAAACAGCAGAATTAAAAGCTGGTACCTCAGTGCAATTAAATCTGAATAATCCGCCAAGTCTTATGAAGATCACTGCACGAACATGCAGGAAACTTACTGTTGATGTATGCTTATGTGGAAAAGTGTGGAGATTTTATTTTTATTATGATTATTTTTTTGCTCAGCTCTGTTTAATTAACTTTCCACATAATGAAAATACTGAGGATGTATCCTGTTTGTAATGAATATTTTATCGCAGAACTTTCATCTGCACCTAATGGATCTTCCACCTGAATGGTTATATTAGGAAACATATTAAGAAAAACTAAGTCTGTTAATGTCTGCCTGGATCCAGCAGATAGAATAACCAACATGTATTGCAGTAGGAATGGCTATAACGTTTAATAAAATAGAATATAAGTCAAAGAAGCATTTTCTTTTTGTGATTTACTCAGTGATGAAGGGTTTACTTACTATCTAGGATTACATTTACTCATTTAGCAGACGTTTTTATCCAAAGCAATGTTCATTTTGAAAAGCGATTGGGGTTATAGGCCTCATTCATGGTTAAATCACTCTTCCAGCCCTGGGGTTTGAACCAATGACCTTCTGCTCACAGGCACAATGGCCTAACCCACTGAGCCTCACAGCGCCCCCTAGGTTTGCTGAACAATGGAAGGCTCCTACAGAATCAGAGTAGTGACCTAGTTGGTCTGAGCCCTGTTGAAAGCCTTCTTTGTGCATGGACAACAGTGCTGTTCTGTCCTACTTTATGGCTGGGCTATTCAAATCACGGTCCTCGAGGTCCGAGCACTGCCGTTTTTCCAGCCTCCCTTTACCTGTGAGCCAGGTGTGAAGCCTCTGACCAATCAGAATCAGTAGTTATTAAACTAAGTACATGAGAGAACTGAAAACACGGCATGGATTTGGAAGGTCCAGATTTGAAGAGACCTGCTTTATGGGTTCATCATGGGGGCAAATATGAAAGTTATCATCTCTGCACTAGAGGTCTGGAGAGGCATGTTACACTCTCGGACCAGCCTGGATGTTTACTGTACTTTGCTCTACGGCTGTGTTTCTCAACCCGGTCTTGAGGGACCCCCAGACAGTCCACATTTTTGCTCCCTCCCAGCTTCCAACTATGCAGACAGTCCACATTTTTGCTCCCTCCCAGCTTCCAACTATGCAGACAGTCCACAGGCAGCTAGGAGAGAGCAAAAATTTTTGGACTGTGAGGGTTCCTGAGGGGATATCAGTAAGGCTCATCCAGTGACACAAACCGGTGACCATTTGGCTACAGTCCTTTGCACTTAACTGGGTGGTGGTTGGTGCAGTGGCCAGAACCAGTGCATATGCAAGCATGAAGCGGGATCAGAGTGAAGTATCAGAAAGGACACGGTCTGTCTGTACACAGGAGCTACAGGTGGGCTAAAGAAATAGACGGTGATACATTGGCAATGAATATACAGGAGACTTTAAATAATTACTCAGAATGCTCTATACTGAACAGCAGGAGAGCACGGGATAAATTAGACCACGTCCACAAAGGACCTCGCTGTATTACACTTAGTACCAAATGCGAGTGAATTTCATTTTCAGTGACCAGATCAAAGGCTTCTCAGCGTAGTTTGCCTGGGATAACATCGCTGCACACATTCTTCCTGAGCATAAATCAGGCGCCGTGGCAACCGTGACGTTTATTTGCATTTACATGCTCCTGAGATCCAGGGGGAAAAAAGTTTTTTTTTTTCACCAATATTGATTAAAATTTTGATTAGACGCAAAGAGGAAGTTGGCAAGGTGACACCCCCACAAATGTGATGTCATCTTAAAGCCGTAGCTGTCCCCGTTGAGGAACAGAACTTAATAAAGTATGCGCAGTGTGAGAGATACGAGCAGAAACGTACTGTCCTCTACAGAGGACAATAATGAATTGCTGGATTTCAAATTAATGTCAGTCAGTAAACAGATACTGAGGCAGAGCTTTCTCAGAACTAAGGCAGCATATTAAACAGAAATACGTTAGTGCTGCTATGTGCCGTCAGTAAGAGTCATGGGAGTGTCTGATCTAACAGGCATGACAGCAGTGACCACCTGAGTACAACGTAGCAGAGTACTAAACCCGTGTTAATGTTTGCTCTGTTATGCCGGGTAATTTTTATTCGGAAATTGGCTGAAGGTTATAACCCTCTGCTGCTTCCTGTCGTGTCCCATCCCCCGTCGAATCTCCCAGCATGTCCTTACCGGGGTGAGACCTGTGCTGCGCATGAGCGCTCTCTCATAATAACCCCCCCCCGCCACTCTCACGCACACCTTGGCCTCGCCACGCCCCGGCTGTTTCACAGCAAAGCCGCTCTCTCCCCGCTGTACTCAGGTGGTCACTGGATTCGTGCCTGTTAGATCAGACCCTCCCAGAATGCAGTGCTGAATAGGATGTTAGGGGATAAGACAAACCGCAGTGCAAGAACAGACGAAACAAGTGCAATATAAGAATGAGTAAATAAACAAGTAATAAATATGTGCATGTTCAGAGGAAATTCTCGAAACTTCAAAGAGCGAAACTAGCTTAATGTGCCTTTCTGGTGTTTAATTCTGGTGTTAATGATGCTTTTCTCCTCTTGCCTCAGCCCGGCTGCGTAAACACAACAGAAGCTGACATCAAGAAGTCCTCGAGAATGAAACAGCCGCACAAAACAAGAAAGGTGGGCTGTCCGTCGCCGTCGGGGGGTTCGGGGTAGGTGGGCTGAGAGTCTGACTTGCCTCAGGGAGCGGGGGGACAGAAATACACGGGTGCGGGACGTGGGCAGTCGTGAGTATGGTGTCCCAGCCAGCTCACCGCGCTGTCTTTGTCTGGAACGACCACGCAGTCGGTGTACGGGCTCCAGAATGACGTGCGCAGCCACAGCCCCACCCACACTCCCGCGCCGGAGGCAAAGCAGCCAACAGAGGAGGAGCTGCACGACAAGGTAGGCGTGCGACACGCTCCGGCGGCCCAGCGGACCACAAACACGAGTCACGAGTTGCCAGCCCCCCGCTGCTACCACCATCCTGCCCAGGGGCTGTAGCTGATCGATGCTGATCACTCCCCTCCAGTGTTTCCCATCCCGGTTCTTGCGGACCCATAGACGGTCCACGTTTTTGACCACCCCCCCAGACAGTGCTCATTTTTGCTAGGGAGCGAAAACACAGACTGCCTGGCAGTCAATGAGGCCCGGATTTGGAAACACCACCTTAAACTGTTAGTCTGTGCTGGGGGCCCCGGCGTGCCGCTGGAAAGTGGCCTGACTCCGCTGCCTCGTCTCGCCTTTCAGATTCACTTCTGGCAAGTCCAGCTGGACAGGCATCGATTGAAAATGTCCAAAGTTGCGGAGAGGTAAGTCTCCCACACCCATCCATGTCTGACGACACCATTGCCTATCGCGGGGGCGGCCTTTTAAGGGGCTCGTTTGGCCGCACTTTCACGCCTCTCCATCCTCGAGCAAAACTCTCGACTTCAGATACGTCTGCTAATAAATCCCAAGGGGTGTTTACAGACATACAGGAAGTAATTTGCTAATTCCCCACCTTACGTAATTCCTCCATCCATCTCTGTAAATATATACCGATGTACACCACCCATGTACACCACCCATGTACACCACCCATGTACACCACCGATGTACACCACCGAAACACGGCTTTAACAAGGAGTAGGCCGTGATTATGAGTACGGCGTGAACTCAGGCCCTTGTGTGAAGGAGCTTGTTCATTGCCAGCAGATCAATTCCCTTTGACATTGTTTCTGCCAGAACTTTGAGAAGAAGGAGCGTTTCATGTTTTATTGGTGGTGAAACATCTGCAAAAAAAAATGGAGCGACCCGTGTGGGGATTCGCAGACGGGGGAGGCACAGGGCGGTGGGGGCTTTCCACTTGGGAGGATGGCCTCGTCTGTAACTGTGTGGAAATTAAATTCGGCTCGCCAGCGTGTGGGAGCCTGATGAAGTTGTCCGGATCCCTGATGGGCTTTCGGCGGCAAGAGCCTAGGAAAGCTCCCAGAGATGCGTGGGAGTGAACCCCAGGACGCGCGTGCAAGGCATCGTGGGTCCCTAAGGCCGTGAAAATCCTAAATCCTTGCAGCATGGCAGGGTTGGCTTTGGCTGTAGACCAAGCAGTTACTTAAGTCCCCTGAATTACCTGCGTTGTGGAGGAAGTTAAACGATCATCATAGTGTGGACTCTTACGTAAAGCTTTGCCTTGGGCACCTGAAGATGTAGACCTGGCCCTGAAACATGACATGGGACTGCTGGAAATTGCCGCTCTCTGCTCTTTGCATAAATTTTTTTTTTAAAATCCATGCTGGATTTGCATCTTCTAGGAGTGAATGTGCATTTGCATCATGGGTTTCCATCTGCGTCGCAGAGGTCGGCCGCCGTGGTCCCGCTCAGTGCCAATATGGCGACGTGGCAGATGCTTGCAAAAAAAAAAAAAAAAAACAGAGGCGTCAGCCCTGGATGAAGTTTACCTGCCCTGGCTGATGAGCTGCTAAGGGGACAAAGTGGTTTGCTTGCGTGAGCAGGAACACTGAGCTCCGCAGCTTGGGGGGGGCTCAGTGTGGACTGATAACATGAAATATTGGTATTGAAGTAAGTCAGGCAAATCCATACTGTAGGCCAAGAAGGGGGCATTGCAATATTTAAATCCAAAATAAATCCCTTCCAGTAGGAAATACAATCTGTTTAAGAGGCCTGTGGTTGCCCTTTGTGTAGATTTTCCCCACACTTTGTAAACATTTAGCATTCATCCGTATAAGTCCATCCATCACGTGTTTTTTTTTCCCGACCGTTCTTGTCCCTCTTAGCTTGTTAAGCTACACTGAGCAGTACATCGAGTACGACCCGTTCCTGACGCCACCGGAACCCTCCAACCCCTGGATCTCGGATGACACGACATTATGGGAGCTGGAAGCCAGGTGAGGATGGTCTGCGGCCTCAGAGACTGAACGCGGTCCTGATTTATTCATAATTATTAATCAATGTTAATGATTAAACCTGCTGTCAACTGATGGTTTTGTAGTGTCAGTCTGATGATATTAATGGCTCATCAGACAACACATAAAAACTACATTGCTGATCTTCTGGTGTATCTGCTGTTCTCTCTGATGATGGTGATGTTTGGGCCTGACGATGTAATTTTTTATTACATTAAGCAACCTGGCATGCAAAATAATCCCAAGGTGAAAAAAAAAGATCTCAACAAATATTTTGATGCTCCAAAGAGTAGCTTTGTCTGAGTGACTGCATTGAGAGCCTCAGATTATAGTTCAGAAAAAGGTCCATAAACCTTTGTTTGTTTTTCTTTGGCTGAGTCAGACGTTTCTGGTCACTTAGACTTTATTGCCTTTAAAGCACATGTTTGATAATCATAGGAACATCTTAAACTGCTATAGTGAATGCAGCAGAGAAGCTTGGGTGGACGGTTCTGTTTGTATAGTTCGGGGGGAGTCGTTCAGATGCTCGTCCGCTCATTGATGCTTCCATCAGTGCGGAAGAGTGGAAATATTGTTCAAATAAAGAGCCTAAAATGCATTTCTCTTTTAATGGTGGTTGACAGTGTCCATAGTCCACCTGCTAAATGGGGTAAATATCGTCTCGTGGGCAAAGTCCCAGTATTGAAGAACAAATAGCCGTAGGCCTAATGGCGCGACCCGGTCGTCCACGGTCCTGTGTGGTGCTGATGCCCGGCGCCTTTTACCATCTGCAGCAAGGAGCCAAGTCAGCAGAGAGTGAAACGATGGACCTTTGGGATCAACGAGGTGCTGAAGGACCCGGTGGGCCGGGAGCAGTTCCTCAAGTTCCTGGAGTCGGAATTCAGCTCGGAAAACCTGAGGCAAGTCTTGGGCGGGACTTGGTGGTACGGCTCAGAGCTGCCGTTTCTGTGGAGGAAAACACCGCGAAAGCCATTACACAAATGGTTTACATAAACATATACGCACTCTACAAATCAGCATTAGTTACTGAGTATTGTACATTATTAATATTTTAAAATGCAGAATCTAGTCAATTTTATAATCAGATGAATATTCTGTTTATATGAATTAAGTATATTTAAGAATGTTTATTTTTATATACATTGTATAATTTACATTTATTCATTATATGTTGAAAATATTACTGTGCCAGATACTTGTAATATGTTAACTTTAAATTACAGTGGAATGTATATTGTTAAAAATGAAAAGTCAGCCTTAACCTGGACATTGTGTTGTAACAGAAAAGGGTCCTGATTTTATGCTTCCAGAGTTTTTATTTTCTTTGTAACATTCAGTCAAGTACATCGGGTCTTTGTTTGAGTCTTTCTAATTTCACTCGACAGCCTTATGCTGCCACTAGAGGTTTGGCCAGTTGGGATGGTTTCGTATTGATTTTTTGCACTTGATTGATGACGGAGAAAAACAGTGAGTCTTGCTTAGAGGGAAAATTGTCTTAATAAAATCAATGGAATGTACAAAGTGAAATTAAACATCATGTCACACAATCATGTATTATGGCATAGCATGCATATTCTGATTGTACTGAATAGCCAACTCTGTGGCTCCCTCTTATGGCCATTATGCGTAATGTTGTGTTGTTAGTGTTAGGCTATAAAGTCAGTTTGAGAAATGGATTTCTGAAGAGTAAGCTTGATACGAGCATATTTTCATCATTCATATTTTCTTATGAATCGGTGACTCAATAAAACAGATTTATAGCTCCACAAATTTTGACTGTAATGGGTACATATGAAGGACACATGTCCAAATTGCATTTAATGCATGCAGTTAGATTAGTCAGTGTGATAACTTATCAAGGTCAACACAAGCACTTTGTCAGCTCCTATAAACCAGGAGGTGTGTAGCACTGTTTTACATACAAGACACTGAGATGCAATTTGCTTTAGAAACTGTAAATTGTAGTGGAGCTATTTACAGACTTTACAGACTCTCGATAAACCAACAACAAGAGATAAACATTTTGCCAATATGGGTGATTGTTGTGCTGGAAAGGATAGTGTGTTTCTGTAATTGGTAATGCAGGCAGATTTTTAGGGAAAAGACCCTCAGAGTGTTTGTTTTGTCGTCGATGCAGCTCATCGATTTTGAATAAACAGAAAACATGGGGTTCTACGGAGACCGCCCTCACTGAACGCCGGTTTCCGCACACTCTCATTGACTCGGGGGGGTTACATGTCATACTAGGTTCTGGCTGGCCGTCCAGGACTTGAAGCGGAGGCCCATTCGGGAGGTCCCCACCCGGGTCGAGGAGATCTGGCAGGAGTTTCTTGCGCCCGGAGCTCCCAGTGCCATCAACGTGGACTCCAAGAGCTATGACAAGACCACGCAGAATGTGAAGGACCCTGGACGTTACACCTTCGAAGATGCTCAGGTGAGACAGACTGGTGGACGGTGAGGAGTAAGAAGGGGGGCGTGGCCCCAGAATCCATCCATCTATCTTCTGTAACCGCTTGTCCTATTCAGGATTGCGGGGGGTCCGGAGCCTGTCCCAAAGGCTACAGATGGAGCGCCAGCCCATCACAGCTCTTAGGTCATGTTATACAGATTGCTTGTCTCAGCTAAAGTGATGTGAATAATGCTCAGTTTTCCATTCATACATCTTGCACATAAAACCAAATATTTATTTGGGTTAAGTCTAGGTGAAATTTTTTCGACCGCTAGGCTACGGAATTTCAGCGACCGACATTTTGCACATCGGTTGGCCGGCCACTAGTCCAGGTCCTCTGCATACATGGTCCTTGCCACCCACTTGTGTATCTTGTGAGTCTTCTAGGCACATGAATGATCCATAAGTGAGTGGAGGAAGCCATGCCAGACGGTCATACGTCCTGCAGGTCACGTGCCACTGAGCTCACTCTGCGTGCTCCACTGCGTCTCACATCCCGCTACTGTCCTCCTCTCCTGCAGGAGCACATTTACAAACTGATGAAGAGCGATTCCTACAGTCGCTTCATCCGGTCCAGTGCCTACCAGGAGCTGTTACAGGCTAAGAAAAAGGTAAAGCCACGGAGGGGCGCTGCTTGCTGTGGTGTTGAATTGCAGACTGGAATGCAGTGGGGGGGGGGGGGGGGGTTTAAGCATCAAGATGCATATGATGAATCCTCACCATCTGCTGCAGGATACAGGGGTTCCACTGGGACCTCACGTCCTTACGCTAACCTGCCAGTTACACAGCCCATCTCCAGTTTTCATTTAAATGTATGCAGTCAGTGCTGTGAAGTTTCTCCTTGTTTATCCTTAGTGGCTGCAATTAATTGGTGCGGTCTCGGTCATCATGTGCAGATGTGCCTGAATTAGTGTTCCGTTATACATTTTAGTTACAAGAAATTGAATTCAATGCATTTAAAATGTAATAAGTTTAATTTAATAGGTTACTTTTCTTTTTACCGCGAAGCAGTGCCTTGTTTATGGGTTTCTGTTTCAGTCCATCTTGGCCCTCGTTTGAACCTCTTCACAGTTTTTTTTTTTTTTTTTGCGGGTAGTCCTCTATTTTTCTTTTTTTAATTGTTGTTTTTGTGTCCGTTCATTTATTTCCCTAAATTGGAAAACTGTCAGAACCGCAGAAGCTCTTTTGAGAAACTCACTTGCATTTTTGTAAGTGGATGAGCCTAGATGGTGACATGGACCCTGTCCTGTGCTGTTAAAGCGAAACGTTGGTGGGGGGGCTCCGCATTCGCTTTATCGGCACTGTAGAGCTAGAGGTCCCCCTCGGTCCTATTCTTGGCCCTATCATACAATCTGTTTCATACTCTCCAGCTGGCTCCTCCCAGTGTCTGATTCTGCTCTGTTAACCTAGAACCTGTCCATTGCTCAGGAATGTCTTTGTTTTGATTTTTTTTTCTTTGAGCCAGTTTAGAGATGAGTGTTGCTGGACAGAGGAAGGCCCCGTTCCCTTGTTATGCACCTCGTATTCTTACAGTTCCGAATGCGTGTGGATATTAGCGCACGTCTCTGCATGCTTCCTCATGTCTGCTTTGTTCTTGTTCACAGAAAAGTAAGAACTTGTTTTGAAGGAGATTGCTTCCAGGTAAAGTTCATGCTCGTTGGTTTCCCTTGCTGTTCTATGTGTGCTTGTGATTAGTTTTATTGCAAGATTAACTGCAGAGGGAATTTTATACATCTCAAATTACACAGAACATTTCAGAATGACTGAGTAGCCAAAGGACATGTTTACCTCAGACCCTGGAGAGACTATAAACTATCGACTGAACTGGCATATATACACTATACACATTGTGTAAGTGCATATAATTGTAGGATTTTCCTTGTGCTGTAACATACCCTGATCATTATTAAGTTAATTAGATCACGTGACTCTTTTTGAGTGGAATGGGGCTACAGTACATGAAGCTCTAAGCGCGCAGTATTTATTTTATTTTCATAAATTTCATCTGTGGCTGACTTGAATCTGTATAAATGGTTGACTCCCTCTCAGCTCCCACCCAGACAGTCCACGTTTTTGCTCCCTTAACTGGAGCTGGGAGGGAGCAAAAATGTGGACCGGCTGAGGGTCCCTGAGGGCCAGGCTGGGAAACACTCTCTTAGACGATACTAACTGCACTGATCTCAGTCATACTGCTCATGCTAGGTATAGAGCCAAGAAGCTACTTTCTTGTGTGGACGAAGGCCAACTCTGAATAGTTTTAAATGTGAGGAGTGGATGATTAACTTTTGTTCCTTGCATTGTGCCACATTTCCAAAAGGCAACCCTTACATGCTGTTAGATGTATTACACATCAGAAGTGTAATTTTCTTTTTCTCTTGTAGGGAAGATCACTTACTTCAAAGAGGCTAACAAGTCTTGTGCAATCATGCTAAAACACAGTCATCGTTTAGCTTGGAAGAGGACCATCGTTTCTACATTGTTGTAGTCTACAGTTTATTCTGACGAACCACTTGCTGGTGGGCCAATTGTTGCATGTCCAAGGAACTCTTATTTTTTTAAATATGTCCCCTCTGTGAGAAAAAGGCATTCTGGACTTCTAGGAGAAGATGAGAAGATGCATATAATGCCTTCAGAGAAAGTTATTTCCCTAGTTACATATCAGCTGGATCTGTGTGTGTCTGCAAGCTGAGAAAGGTGGGAAAAAATTGTGTTTTCAAACATGGAGAAAAAAAAAAATCAAAAGTTGAGAGGGAGAGACCTCTGCATAGGAGAGTGTCCTGAATCACTGATCTGTCACAGTGTTGAAACATTAGTGATGCATATATTGTATTTTAATTGGCTTTTATTACACTGTCAGAGATTAGCGATTTGTCACACGTGTAACGTCTCATTCTGATAAAGAAAAACGCTGTGTCTTTGTCCTAGGTGTGTCTGTAATTTTGTTACTGTTTCTTGCATTATTTCTACAACTCCATTCCCAAAACAGTTGGGACGCTGTGTGAAATGCAATGAAAAACAGTATGCAATGATTTGTAAATAATATAAGCCCATATTTGATTGAAAATAGATCAGACAAACAGCAGATGTTGAAACAAATTTTGTTTTATGACAAATATATGCTCAATATGAATGCCAGCAACACGTTTCAAAAAAGTTTGGACAGGGGCAACAAACGACTGGAAAAGTTATGTAATGCTAAAACAAAACACCTGCTTGAATATCTCAACTAATTAGGTTAATTGGCAACAGGTTAATTGGGTATAAAAAGTCTCTGTACAGTGAAGATGGGGAGAGGTTCACCCCTCTGTAAAAGACTGTGAACAAATAGTGCAACAATTTAAAAATAATGTTCTTTGGAATTTGGGAATTTCATCATCTACAGTACACAGTATCATTAAAAGGTTCAGGGAATCCAGAGAAATCTCTGTATGGATGGGACAAGGCTAAAAACCAATACTTAGGCGGCACTGCATTAAAAACAGACACGATTCTGTAGTGGAAATCACTGCATGGGCTCAGGAACACCTTCCGAAAACCACTGTCTGTGAAGACAGTTTGTCGCTGCATCCATAAATGCCATGCAAAGAAACCGTAGCTAAACACGATCCAGAAACGCCGCTGACTTCTCTGGGCCCGAGCTCATTTAAGATGAACTGAGGCAAAATGGAAAACTGCCCTGTGGTCTGACAAATCATAATTTCAAATTCTTGTTGGAAATCATGGACGTTGCGTCCTCTGGGCTAAAGAGGAGAGGGGGCATCCAGCTTTTTATTAGAAGACAGTTTAAAAGCCAGCATCCGTGATGGTATGGGGGTGCATTAGTGCCCATGGCTTGGGTAGCTGGCACATCTGAGGAGGCACCATTAATGCTGAATGATATAGGATTTGGAGGAACACATGCCGCCATCCAGACGTCGTCGTTTTCAGAAAAGGCCAAACCACATTCTGCACGTATTACAGCAGCATGGCTCCGTAGTAGGAGTCTGGGTCCTAGACTGGCCGGCCTGCCGGCCAGATCTGTCACCCACTGAAAACATTTGCCGCATCATGAAACAAAAAATACGACAAGAGAGACCCCGAACTGTTGAGCAGTTGAAATCCTATAAACAGGCAATAATGGGACAACATTTCACTTTCAAAACTCCAGCAAATAGTCTCCTCAGTTCCCAAACATTTACAGCGTATTGTTAAAAGAAGAGGTGATGCAACACAGTGGCAAACATGCCCCTGTCCCAACTTTTTGAAATGTGTTTCTTGCATCGAATTCAAATTGAGCATATATTTGTCATAAACCAATAAAATTTCTGTTTCAACATTTGAAATCTTGTCTGTGTTCTTTTATCAATTAAATACGGGCTTACATGATTCGCAAATCATTGCATCCTGTTTTTATTTACATTTTACACAGCATTCCAAATTTTTTAGAAACAGGGTTGTAAACCATATTTAAAGACACGTTTTACATAAAAATGGATTAAAGTTGGCCCTTTATCTGTTTATGTGGGTACATTTTTATTTCTTAGTTATGAACTTTTCTGTCTGGACTCAGCATTTTTTGTGGTCTGCAGCTTCCATTTCGCTCTGAAAGGAGATTTACAGTTGGTTTATTTAATGATTTCTCTGCACTAATTCATACTGAGCTTGAAAACAAAACTGTATTTTTTCTTTTGTAGTATAGGAAACCCAATGTCTGTGGAGTATTGTTTCCCAGAACTTTGCCTTTGATGTCGTATGTATATATATATATTTTTTAAACTTTTGGAAGTGGATGCAAATTAGCGTTAATAATTCAGATAGCCCTGATGTAAAATAAGCCATATCCCGTTTGGCTAGGCGTATATTCCTTTCCTGGTGGCTGAGAAATCTGAGGGGACCAAAGGTCAGACGTGGCCCTGGCACCATATTAACAGTTATGCATCTGGTCTGGTGCAGCCTATCTGATGTCCAGAGACATACGGGCCTTGGCAATGTAGTTATTGCATGGTGTATTCAGTTCATATCCGTCTACTACAGAATGAAAAGGCATAATTATGGAAACATTCCAAAATGTTTCCATATTTTTATATATATATATATATATATATATATATACACACACACACACACACACATTATACAGTATGTATATATATATATATATATATATATATAAAAAAGTCACGCTATATGGATACAGGAAATGAGTTCTTCTTACAGCAACCCCACTCTGTTAATGGATTAAGCAAAGCAGGACACCGTCTTGGTCCCTCAGTGTTGAGTAGTAGACCGTGTGAGGCCACTTTGTTGCTTAGGAAGCGAAAGCCCCTCGAGATCTGGCTGGATACTGAAACAGTATCTCAGTTCACAGTGCGGCTTCTTCCCCTCATTCAACACCGACCCCAGTAACACAGGATATGCGAAAACCGTAGGAAATCTGCTAATGCGGCAAAATTTTTCAAATTCTGAAAAAGAAAACAAATACCGTTGTGGCATTTTCGGCCTCCCTCGAGCGAGACACGGGGACATGGGAGCCGTAAGCATTTCAAACCAAACACGAAGACCTTTGTTGGGAGAAACCTCATCTGCTGACCATAGGAAGTGCTTTGGTGTGGTTAGCTGGTAGGAGGATGCTCGTGTTCGCTGGATCCAGAACTGAGGATGATGGAGTAGGGTGTTCCTGATGTTTTCCCGGCTGGTGTTGGCAGTTCAGCACTGCTCGGAAACACAAGCCTGGGTGTGAGCGGCTGCACGGTGCATAACCTGCTTGTAGCCTGGCCCCCGGCCCCAGAGGCTGCCCTTTTGGGCTGTCTCTGTGTACATCTTTGCCCTCAGTCGATCACATTTGAGTTGTCCAAAGAGTTACCCCCCCTCCCCCCCCGCCAGGTCGGAGGACCATGTTGGCACAGTTCCCTTTGCTGAACGATGCCCCCCCGCCTGAGAATGTACGACGACAGTGACACACGTTCCCCTCTGTTACATTACAAGGGAGAATCACTGTTTGGCATTGCAAATAAACACCAACCTGAAGCACCACGACCAAAATGCGTTTTGTAACGTCTTTTTGGAGTAACAACTTTACCTGTACGTTTGTCACAGTGCTTAGGGGTATGTGGATAAACTGTGAATGGAGTGGGACAGGATGCAGTGTGAGTATGAGTTTAAAACCACTGGCAATAAGGTGGCAGTAGCCATCCTAGTATATTTTAATGTAATTGTTAGTTTAATTACCAACTGCAGCCACTAGATGGTGCCAGGTCTTGTCACAAGGGGCAGTGCAGCATCCTGGGGTGTGACCTCTTAACATCAGAGGTCTGAACTCTCATTTAGCAGCTGGTATAGAGTTCTGCTGATACAAATGTAAATATGTACATTTTCCTGTTTGATAATGAAACATAGAACCTAATGCAGATACAGAATACAGTGTATAAAATCTGAGAACTAGTGTGGAAGTTACCTTATGAGCAATAGACTCAGCGCTGAAGGGTTAGTTCTGTTAGTATAATGTAATAGTGTTACTGGGGCAAAAATTCTCACTAGAACAGCCCTAAAGAAACTGCATAACAACTATAAAACTCCATATAAAATGGTATTTTGTGTGCGTGTGGCATCTTTCTAAATTCTGTATATCTCAGAAATGCCTGTGTACTGTACCAGTGTTAGGCTTCATTTATTTATTTTATTTTTTTTTTACCTTTCATGTTGAAGGAGTTTTACAACTTGCTCACGCCAGAGGGATACAGCATTTGCAGTGTGTGTGTTCTGGTCTCGGGCTTCACACTGGTAAAATCGGGCGGGTTCTGGCGTCCGGGTCGGCAGGAAGCTCCCACCGACATCAGGAGCCTTCGAAGAGAGTCTGTAATTTACCATTTAGGCTACACTTAGCGGGAATAATGTCACTCAAATTGTTAACTGTGGCCAGCTTTGACTGCTTATAAACCATACACCAAATGTAGAAAATGAAGTCTTTTAATAAAAACCGGTAAACAAATTGCTCCAAGGTGGTTGTTTTTCTGTAAGGCGGAGCGCCGCAGTCGTCAAAGCCTCCAGCCTTCGATGTATGTGGGGGCATGTTGTGGCTGAAAGTGACCTGCAGGGGAAGAGAGTTGGCATCAGGAAGCCATGCGGGGGAAAGTGGTTATAGAAGCTACTTTGGAGGAAGGCTGGCCGGGTAACAGTGTCGGGAGGGGGGGAATGGAGGGAGGGAGAGAGAGCACAAGGGGTGGGAAGGGGGAGTGGAGCAGAGGGGATTGGGGTGGGGGGGCCTGGTGTGATTTGTTTAGTGATCAGAGCCAATAGAAACCCCAGACAGCGATAATATCCACATGTTGGTGACTGAGAAGGGCCAGAAGTAAGAGACGAGACGCGTCGGGCAGAGCGCAGACACTGGGACGTCGGGCAGAGCGCAGACACTGGGACGTCGGGCAGAGCGCAGACACTGGGACGTCGGGCCCAGCTTGCATGGGCGTCAGAGCCATAGCCAGCAACAGGACAGCGTGTGCCGGCCAGCAGCCTCGCACACCCCCGCCGGAGCACAGCATCCGGCGCTCACCTGCGCCGCAGAACCCCGGACGGCAGGTAAGCGGGAGCCGACCTCCCAGTCACGCCGCCCGGCACTGGGCGCCGCCGTCTCCGTTCTCGCGTGCGTTACCTGCAGCACGTCTGAAGGATGGGATCATTTATACATGAAATTTCTTAAAAGGGCTTTGAAGATTCATGCCAAGTGCTTGGCACACTGGGAAGATAAGAATACTTATGTAACCGCTGAGTGGAAGAATTAACCTGTAACTGTACACCTAACCGCACATGAATAGCAAGGGCCAGCTGGCTCAGATGTTAACTCAAGCAGATTAACATGTGATGCTAATCTTTGAAATATTAAAACATTTAAGTTGAAGTTGCATGTATTATTGTAGATATCAATGATTTGCAGTGGGGGGGGTACCATGGGATTTATAAACTAAACAAAAAGTAAACATCTAAAAGTAATCTAATCAGGATTGGCTCACAGCCTGCATATATTGTTTGGACTTCAAACAGCGACATACCGCACAGGGGAATGTCACATAAGAGCACGTCTGGGGTGGCGACATTCGAATAGGCTGAATGAGGCAGGTTAAGATCTGATTATTTGTTTCACTGTTCTGCGTTTGGGGCTGGTGACCGCACCACCTTGCACAGTTAGCCTGCTTGTGTTAAAGAGGATTGCATGCAATACCATGCAGTGAGGCAAACACCAGACAAGCTTAATTTTATGAAACAAACACTGTATTTGGGACTCCAGGACGGTGTGTGCCCGCACTAAGTGATAATTACAAAGAAAGAAGTATTGGAGTCATACACTCATGTTTCTGACCCAGCAACAGAACTGAAGCTTGGCATAAAGGCTGATGTTACAAGACAAATTTAATGGAGCATTTTTTTTTTAAATAGAAGACAGTCACGTAAATGCCTTTTAAAATGGTTATAGGTAATTGTGCTTCAAGAGGAGAAATGTGGTTTTGAAAGAAGCAGGGGAAAAAAAATACGTAAATCCTTTAAGTGTAAAATTACTACACGTTTTTCGGATGCATAAACCGTACTTGGTAGCTTTTTGCTCCATGGCTCATGTTCAGGAGCTATAGGAGCCAGTGTGTGGTGGACATTTTTTTGGGGGTTTCGGTGTTTTCCTATGGGTGCAGTGAAATGCCCAGTGCTGGTAGCACCACTAACGAAGGACTTCATCCGCTGTGAACGAAGCTGGGGGGCGGGTTTACAGAAACATCGCTGTGAGCTTTTCAAATAGACTGGAGCATGCCTAAATACTGGCGGGGAGCTTGGGGTCGGTTTGTCGGGACCAGTTATAGCAGAGGGTGTTTCATTAAGATTTTTCCAGCGCAGTCACACGTAAAACTCAGCATGAAGAGTCGCTCCGCAGCTCTGCAGCCAAACGATCGCGTTTTCCCTTTAGCGTGCGTGGTTGAGCAGGACCAACACCGGCCGGGCTGTTTGTGCACACCTCTCTCGGTGAATGTCCTTAAGGCATCGTACGTAAACCCTGCATCTCCCACCTCAGAGAGGCAAATAGCTGCCAGCACAACAGTACTACGGCTGCACTTCTGCTATTTTTACCTCCAACATACAGGGCTCATTCTCCTTAGCAGACTTGCATCTTTTCCCCCAGCAGACTGCAGGACGCTAACTAAAGCCTCGGCGGCATCTCCGCAAGGCGCCTAGCCCTCCCCCAGCCGCCACTTTCACCATATGAATGAATCTACAGCTCCCTTCACACTCCGCGACATTTCCGCACGTCCACTGTGAAACGGGTGTAGCGACAAGACAGAGGGTGCAGGTGGAGCCATGACACACTGGGAATTTCCCAGCACTGCTCCACTGAGGTGGACTACAAGACTAGACTGGTGACCAGAAGATTACTTTAACCTTCTGGTTGAAGCAGCAGTCATGGCAAAATGTCACGTTAAACCGGCATTAGAGGGAAACCATCACTGCATCCTTACATCAAGGGGTAATTCGATGGTCTGAATTTGTGCTTCAGTCCATTCATAGGCTTCCACAGTTGGTCACTGGATCCAGTTCTCTCACTGGTAGCAGGGAATACAAGTGTCACTGGTCAGCGTGCAGTCATGATGCTTATCCTTACAAGTGCACCATCCCTGAGGGGGAAGGCTGCAGTCAGTCAGCCGGTCACTCAACTCACACCACGGCCTTGTCATTCCGCGACCAGGTGTCGGATTTTATGCTCCACGCCTTGGGTTTGCCTTGTGGGGGCCAAAGTCAGTGCAGGGCAGAGCGCAGTACAATGGCCCGCTGCTCAGGCTTAGCACCACTGGGGGATTGGGGGGGGGCAGGCCCGTAAAATCACAGAGGATTTGAAGCGTTACTGAGAACGCCAAGCCAACCACAGCCAGACGCGCAAAAAAACAAACAGAAACCAAAGAAAAGCCCTGAGGCTTGTTATTTATTTCATACCACATGTGGGAGCTACGGAGTAGAGGATCTCTTTTGAAACAGAAGGGGTAGACCCACATTAGGGTTATCTCTCAGCTGGTGGCAATTACGGGGTGAGAGGGGGGGGGGCTGTGGTTGCAAGCCAATGTCCAAACAGCTCCAGGGTGTCTCATTATAACCACATTGTGCGGGTTCTCTTAAATACCTTGAAATTCTGTTTTTTCAGCGAATGAGCTGGAAGATGTACATTTCGGGAGAAGGCAAGTATGCGTTTTCCATTTTCAGGATAAAAAATCCAATTTGAGGTTAATTTAAAAAATGGGTTTATGATCATCTGTCCCAGTTTCCGTGGTTATGAGCGCCATGTGAAGCTTGGCAGCGTTGCCCACACCTCAAAGTGGGATGCGCAGTCTGGGGTAGGGCTTCCTTCAGGCCTGTTGTTCTGGCACCTGCTGAGAGACACACGGACACGCAGCATGCCCTGCGCCATGGCCAAGCGGCCGATTCGCCTGCGAGGGCCCTGCGGCTCTCCGACGAGGGCACCTCAGATGCCGCAGCGGAGCGCTGATCTCCAAATGCTCTACAGTTCTGTGCCCATGCTGCCGCTGGCCGCCCTGCCCCACGATTAACTTTATACAAGACGGGTTTCTTCAGACTGAAGTCTAAACAGCCCTGACTCAGCCAAAGCATGCGGGCAGTGTGAACCGCGAGACTTCCCACGCTAAATACTAAACACCCTCAGTGCGACATGGTATGGAAGGCGTCTTTTGGAGGTACAAATCCCAATTAAAGAATTCCACAGTATCAGGGAAAATGTAGTTAAGCAACTTGATATTATCAATGTCAATGGAATTTGAATTCCAATCGTAAGCACTGAGACAGCTGCATCCTTTACTGAACCGATTCCGGTCCCTTGCTTAAGGGTGCAACAGACCAACAGCAGAGGAACCTACGAAGGCTTCATCGTGCAGCCTAGGATTTGCAAATCAGTCTGTTACCATTGGCCTCTGTGCTATTATGTGGGGTAATGTAAGGGGGGGGTGGGGGTGGTACGTAGATCATAGAGAGAAAGCTGAAGATGCATCATTTCGCAAAACATGGCTGTAGACTAGGGCCCCAAAACAAAACATTCATCAAAATAAACTGAAACTGGGTGACTCAAATATTTCAGTTTACAAGCAGACACTAAGCGCAGCAGTATGACCAAAGACTCGTGTATACAGTATAGTTCAGTGGTTAGGATCTCTAATTTGAACTGACTAAAATGGATGTTTTAATTCCACAGACTATATTCTTAACAGCAAAAAAAAACAAAAAAAAAAAAACATAACTGATTATGATGCAAGATGGACACCAGACAAACTTCTGAAGACAGCATGCAGCAACTTCCCGACACACTAATTTTTAAGCAATAACCAGCGAGTGTCTTTCCACGCTCGACATCTGCTGCAAAGATGTCAGCCTGACTGACAGACCTAAGTTCTTTCAGTTCGGCTAATAATTATTTTGGTATAGAATCATCGTTCCCGCTGAGCTTGACAAAGTGACAAATTAAAGTTAATCTGTGTCTTCCTGTTCTTATAGGAAACTATTTGAAATGAAGGAATACTCTAAGGGGATTGGTGACCCCCGCAGGCCTGTTCCTGTGGTTTCTTTAAGAGGTGGGGGGGGGGGTTTGTTGGTATCATAATTTTAAAGTTTAACATCCAAACTGTTGAAACTAGGCCCTGTCTTAGGGGCGCAGTCCTAGGCAGGACGAAAGTCTTGTCAGGTTTTCAAAATTGAATTTATAAAATAAAATTAAAAAGTGGGCCAAATATGTTTACATATCTATAACATGCCTCATATCTAGACTAAGCAAAACCTTAAGGTCTCTGGCAGTGTTTTGTATTGCCGTTGATTAACAGCGATGTTTATTTTCAGTATTTTTATACTGAAACTGACAAAACAGCAAATGAAAGTAATGAGTCAATTAAGGAAATTTGGACTAAAGATGACGGATTCATTTCCTGCTTTCTTCGCAAGAACACAAACAGACCTTCTTAAAATTAATGCCTCTTACAGCTTATACACCGATGCATCACATTCATTTCGACCCGCTTGAGCTTATGCCGGCTTAACTTTTGGTAGATTTAGTACTTGAATTAAGCATTTGAATGAAGGCAAAAAAAAACTGTTTAAAAGGTGGAACAAGGGAGGTTTCATGCAACTTGATGAAAGTTGCCATCACAGTCAAGTAGACATTTCCCATGGGTACAAAAGATGATTTAAGAATTTCTGGAAGGGACGTGGTTCCCAGTTCTTGCCAGTAATGTAGACTTATCATGATATAACTGTATGCTGACAAGGCACTTGCTGCAGATTTACTTTCCCCTGAAAGGCGCAAACATCTCATAGACTAAAGCTGGGTCTCTGGAATCCTTGACGAGAAAGTCTACTTGCTGTACAAGCATGTTAAATACAAAGAATCAGAAAGGGTAACATCAAAAGGGGAAAACAAAAACAAGTCTACAGAAAATCTGAAGTATCACTCATGAGACTTAAAAGTGGAGAGATTCAAGGTAATGCCTTACAATAGGAAACAGGTGTGCAATTCTATTATAAGAACCTTTTGAATAATATTACATTCCATCCACATTTAGACATTAAGGGGTACTATGAGGAAAAGGCACAGCACATTGCTACGTTTAAGATGAGTGCTAACTGCCTGCTTCCCTCTCCCTCCCTGGAAGGATGTACAGGAGTCTCGTGTTGTCGGTGCTGCTTCTCGGAATCCTGGGCTCTGCCGTGGAATCCAGAAAGAACAGACCACAGGGCTCCATCCCCTCACCCTACAAGGGCGGCAGCAACACGTCAGTCCAGCGTGGGCGCAAGCAGGAGGTGCTGGCATCCAGCCAGGAGGCCCTGGTGGTGACAGAACGGAAGTACCTGAGGAGGGACTGGTGCAAGACCCAGCCGCTTCGGCAGACCGTGGCCGAGGAGGGCTGCCGCAGCCGGACGGTCATCAACCGCTTCTGCTATGGCCAGTGCAACTCCTTCTACATCCCGCGGCACATCAGGAAGGAGCAGGAAGCTTTCCAGTCCTGCGCCTTCTGCCGACCGCACAAGTTCACCACGCTGACGGTGGAGCTGGACTGCCCCGACCTGCAGCCTCCATTCCGGCACCGGAAAATCCAGAGGGTCAAACAGTGCCGGTGCATCTCGGTCCACGTGGCGGAGTCTGGCAAGCAGTGATGCCTGGAGACCCGGACGAAGGGCCTGCGCAGACGGGTTTGCGTATTTCTTCGTAAAGGAGAGATTTTACCAGGTGTAGTTATGCAAAGGGGACACGCCTCAAAAAAAAAAAACAAAAAAAAAACAAATTCAAGCTTCAGGTGCCTTGGTACACCAGTACCTTAGAATCAGTAGCTAGTCCACAAATGCCAAGATTAGTACTCCTTTCATTTGGGGGGGAGGACAGACAAACCTAACTATATATAGATATATAAAAATATATATATTTATCACATTTCATGGTTTGTAAATACCTCAAATCACTTGGGGCAAGGGTATGCAGAACCTGAACTGGCCGACTGAAGTATCAAGTAGCTAAATGCAAACTGAGGTCTGTCGCTGAGAGCTGCAGACAGCAGCCCTACGTGGATGCAGCAGCTGAGGAACTGGCTTCAGTACAGATGGGGGGGGGGGGGGGAGTGGCAGAGACGCCATGGAAACCGAGTGCCAAACTGATAGCGAACGCCTAATGAGCCCAGCGGTGATAAGAGCAGGTGCCTTGGTCCTGGCTGAACGGACTCCTCAAATGACCTGGAACAATGCGGACACTGCATGGTGGCAGCTGGGGTGGGGGGGTGGGGGGTGGTACTGTAAGTGGAATCTATGGGAACAGGAATCACATTGTTTATATCAAGAATGTGTAAAGGAGATGCATACGAGGAAAAGGTAAATGCCTAATAAAATGTATATATCTAGAGAAAATGAATTCTATTAAATCTATTTCATATAGAAGTGTGTGTATGTCTTGCTATTGTGGAAAAAAAATAAAAAGCAAGTGTAACATAACAGGAGACCAGGGAAGATGTGAGTGGGAGCAATCAAATAAAAACTGAGTTTATTTATCCATTTATTTTATATAAATTACATTTTTCCCAAAACAAAAATTCTAATTAGAAACACTTATTGCACATGGGGATAAACTTTAAAGGACTCCAGGATTATTCAGTGGTAAATCACATTGGGCACAGAACCAGCATGCTGGGATAGAAGTAAAAATTAACAAAAATATGTTACATAAAGATTTGAACACTACTTTACATAGATAAAAACATAGAATAGCATCTTTAAATAAGTAACCCAAGTCAAGCATCGAACCTCAATGCAGTTTGAGACATCTGAGGGTGAGAGAGAACATGACACTGGAGTGAGACACTAATCCAGCCCAAACCTTGCAGGCCATGCTCACTGATCATCCATGCAGACTGTTACATTGCTCTAGGGACACCCTAACAACGTTCTCAGCGATGTACGCACCCAGGCTATCCTGAGACTCCCATTAAGCCCGTGGCCGCACTCACACAGAGTTACACTGAGCTCCACCCTTTGGGGTAATTAGTTAGCTTGTGCCCCACTCAAGTTGTGGCTCCTTGTATTGATACCAAAGTCGCAACTGGTTGTGGGGAACCTGAGGGAACGCTGGACATCTGAAGAGGTTCGGAAAAGCCCAAATCAGTATCATAATATAGCTTAGATATAGACTCGTCAGATAAGACCCCTTAAGAAAAGCGAGTTGGCACACTGTAGCTGGACTGCCAAGCAGATTCCCCCCCCCCCTCTCTTTTTTTTATTACTTGTTGAAAGATGGTAAGAACACTGGCGACTGGGTACTTAACGTCTAAAAACCCCAGGCTTAAGGTGGTCTACAGGGTTGCCAGCTATTGTTACAAACATCTGACCACCGCACTAAAAACACTACTACCTCCACCGTGACTGAAATGGCAAAAACGCTGCCCATCAAACAATTAGTCTCAGCAGATTAAAGCGACTCCATTTCCTGCAACTTCTCCATTACAACGTGCAGCGAGGTCAGTTCTCTTTATACATATTTACACATTAACACATTTCCACGCACACGCACAGACACGCACCCACGCACATACACACATTTAAATTTCTGTATTGGCTAAAGCCCATCTGCAGTATTCTATTGCTTAAAAATGCACTTACAGGACCCTATAGCTAGGATTGATGGTATGTACCAGCCATGGCCTACTGAAGGCGGTACACACATGCCAGAGGAGAATGTGCTGTGAGGTCCATCAACCATTATCAAGAAAGCTCCACTGGAGGTCTGCTGCTACTGCTCTCCAGGAGCTCAGGTGGACCGAGATCTTACTGGAAACTTCTCCCCCTCAATCCCATTTGGGCTGTATGCATTTAGGGTGAAGTGGTGGACTCAGCCAGTATGGCCACAGTATCTGTAATGCTGGTTTGGGAGAGGGGGGACATGAGAGGAGAGTAAGAAATTTTAAAATCTAGACTTAATTCTCAACACGTTTGTTTTTGTGTTGTTATTCTGTGCCATCATCTCCTGGAAATGAAGTTTCTGGGCTCTCCGGTGGTTCAGATCTTCATGCCAAGTTTTGCTTTCTGTAAAACAAAAAAGTAGATCAAATAAATCACGTCACTGTTTATTTAATGGCCAAACAGGGCCGCGTGCGCGTGCTGAGAGCAGCATGCATAGTGACTCCTGATGGAAGCGGGACCTTCGTGGCGCCGTGCTGCCAGATGCCAGGCATACTTACTATCCCAGAAGCGTGCTTCGGTTTGACGCTGTATGACGCTTTCTCCTTCGCCTGCCTGAAACACTCCTCTGCCACTTTCAACCTGAAATATGAAAACCGATATTAAGAAACGATGACCATGTAAGAGCTTCCCCTCAAACTGGTGTTATCAGATGCAAAATGGCGCCTTTCTGAAAAGGTGAAAGGAGCACATGGCAGAGCCGCCCCTGGTACCAGAGGTCACTGCTTCTGCAGAGGTGAGCCACCGAGCTCCAAAAAATAGACTAACCTCAAACTAATGAACCAGACCGTACCAGTGCGCTAGTAAGTGAATGTCCTCCCCTGCCTTATATTCAAACATGTGTGGGTCACAAGCAGAAGTGTGCACCCTGATCCAGGACATCCTGCTCAAGCCATAGGAGGAACAGAAGGGGGGGAGGAGTCACAAACCACTTACTTGAGTTTCTCCTGCTGCAAACAATGTTAAGTCAACCAGTCCAGTCCAGATCCAGTCCACCATTGGTGCAGTCAACCTGAGGCTTACCTCTGGGCCCCGCAGAACAGACCATTCCAAAACAGAGCGAGCTGACAGCGCTCACTACCATTTCCTCATTAGTGCAAAGGAAATGCCAAACGTTTTATTTTCTCCCTCTGTGTTATTAGTGCCATTATTGTTAATTAAGGGTCAAATTGCTGTTATTGATGTTGCAATCAAGATCCAAAATCAAACATGAATCTGAATAATTGCATGTGCATTTTTAGGGGATGTGAGGGTAGAGGTGGTGGGGGGATGTGGTTCAGCAAGAAATACCAAATGGGGGGGGCAACTCATACGAACCAAAAAAGAAAAATAAAGATTGCTGGAATAAATCCAGCAACTAGTAAGAATAGCTGTTTTCCTTCAATGAAATGTTATCTAAAATATCGTAACTGTAAATATAATATAATCAGCTCATATTATGTCTTAATGCATCTAAAATAATCATTTCAAAACCAGTTAATGCAAAGACAATAAAATGCAAACATCAAACACCACGTCAAAGTTTAAATAATGGTGGTAAGTGAGTAAGAAGAGTCATCTGACTGGGTTTCAGCTAAGGAACCATAACTCAGTTCTGACTTTAAAACGGCAGTAATGCTTTTCAACACAATTAAACCTACAAAGCATCTCCTGAAGCCTAGATGTGGGACACTGAAGTGCTGTTATAATCTCCAAGGCTCAGCCCCTCCAAACATCCCTCCTGCAATATAGAGGCTCAGCTACCAGTTACAATGACCATTAGAGACAAAACTGTAATGAATATTCTACTGACATCCAAGTAGACAGTAGCTATTCAATTACAGTTGATCATTTTGCAATTTCATACTTTCAATGAACACTTAAGTTTGAAATGAAGGTCAGACTTAAGGAACCGCAGTATAATTTCAGGACAAGTAACAGTGTATTAATGCAGAATAAAAATTGCTTTGTCATGCTTCTCCGGGATGGTAGCACTACATGTTTTTTAAATGGGATTTCAGAGGTCAAGAAAGTGTAACTGGCTGCTTCATTACACCGACATCAACTTGCTGATAAGTAAATGCGTGTCACCGCTCATTCAAAAGTTAGGGTGCTTTAATGTTCATAACGCATACCACACTCAATCACTGGCTAAACATCCCAAGATGCTACAACAACTTTCAAACTTCTATCAAAGGACCACGGCTTGTAAAGACACACCCAGAAGTGTCTCACAAACGTCATTAATTCTGTAGTAGAAACACAAGCTTCTGAAAAATTTAGATTATATCTGGCCACCCTTTGTAACAGTGATGATATCGCACATTAGCCAAACAAAAGTTAAACTTCCCGAAAACTATGTCAGGCAATTCATGCCCCTAACAGGCCAGCTCCCTTTCTGGTTCTGGTGACTGGTGCACTCTAAGCTTAGAAAGGCGGCAAACATCACATTTACATAAAATTTATGCGTTTAGCTGATGCTCTTGTCAAAAGCGACATACAAGCGGGACAGATTACAAACATTACACAACATCCTGCTGAGAGGCAACAGGAAGGTTATTGCGCAATTTTGGTGGTTTCCCTTTAAAAACAAACAAACAAGGTTTGTTCATTCAGCTTTTTTGGTCAATGGGGAATTTCCACTTGAACCAGAGTTCCCCATTACATTCTTCTCATCCCATAATTACCGGAAAATGGTTCCCCTGTTTAAGGACTGTGACGTGACGGAACAAATCCACAAACACGCAAGATGACGGATGGCATTCAGGTCAATGTCACATCATGAACACACCTTTTACCTTAAACAAAAACAGAGCCTTTTGTTTGTATTCCACCTACATTTACCATTGTAATGACTTCCGCAGCACAGCATCTCTAGTGAAAAATACCCTTTTAAGCAATTATTCAAAGGTTTTGTTCCTATCCTGAAAATGCCTGTATAAATCAGTAATATGCTTCAAAGAGCTCCTTTGATGTCATCACACGAGCTGATTATAATTTCCTCCATATAAAATGTACCTTAAGCCCAAAGCATTGTATAATTATGATTTACGCTTCTAATTGTCAGCCCACTTTTTTCACGAATGGGCTAAAAATAGCTGACAACATAACAGCGCATCAAAGAAAATCATTGAACACGTCGAACAAGAGGAACACATACTTGCATTTACCGGAGAAATAATGGATATAAAGCATCCATTTAATATGGAGTAGCTTTATAAATATGTCAGAGCTGATAAGCATCAACGCAAGATGTTTGTGCGCTATGATCGACTTTGTAAGAGTGCATAACGTCAACCTGATACTTTAATAACAGACCTTAAGGGAAGAACCCAAGCCCTCCAGAAGTAGTTTTCACTTTCCCATTAAAGCCGCTTCTCCTGGCTACTTCCCAGCACCACTGGCTTTAAGTGTAACAACTAGAGACTGAATTATGCATAGATTAAGGACTGATTAGCGCCAAAATGCTAAATTGTGCAAAGTGGCTTGGCTGAACCGACCTTTCTGACCCAGGAGACGAAGAGGGCATCTTGCAATGGCTTGTTATACCTAGAATGCCTAAATCTCAACATGGTGTATGGAAACAATCTTCGTATGCACACGCTAAACGTTACCCCATCAGAAGAGAAAGCCACTAGGGCTCTCCTCCTTCAAGGTGCTACCACAGCCCCTAATTGGACCTGACAACACCCTACTCCATGGTTACTCAGACTTGTTCACGACAAAGGACATTTCTTACCACGCCCACGCAGCCTTGCCTGCTGTCCATGAAGATGTTTACTTGCTGGCCAACACACTACTAACACCCTTAGGGATGTGAGAGGGGAGCCGTTCAATTCGGCTTTAACTTCCTTGACCTTCCCAGCTACTGAAAAGATCCCAAGAATCAGTTCCTCCACATCAGAACGCCGTAACTGGAAGGGTCCCAGAAGAGCTTAGTGTCTAAACTGCAGAAAGAAGGCAGTGTATAAATGAAACTGGTGTCCAGTGTGGAAAGATGGATATAAAGAAAGCTTTATAACACCAGCATGTAATTACACACTGAACTCATCCATGGTCAGGGCTTTAGAAATGATCAGGAAATATAGAAATTGAAGCTGACGATTTTAGTTACAAAAGATAATTTCACCACTTGGAACACAGCTAACATTCCCATATTTTAAACTCACCTTCAGCGCAAATGCATTAGGCAATGTGGCCTTGGAAGACTTTCCAACCCTTTCTGAAGGCAAACTAAATTAAGATGATTGATCTGGTTGTTAAGGGTCCACTCCCTTCAGACCAAGCACAGCTGAAGTGTTTACGTGGGAGAGAATTATGGGGTGCCCAGGCTGAGACTAGACTCTCAGTAGTAGACTCAAGCATCCGAGCCGTCAGACACATGCACGCGCGCACACACACACAGCGAGCCACACAAAAATGGCTAATCAACTGAGAGAGATTCCACTTCACCCACCACTGCACACCCTGCAGCCCACTCCTGGTTGCCGTGCTCATGAGGGTCAGAGGTCTATGCCCCCACTGAAAACCTGCGTGAGAATTGTTGCCACAGGTCCAAATATGGCATACTTTTTGATAGGGTCATGGTCCATCCCAGAACTTTCACTTGCAAGTAATTACTTTCTTTGAGAGAGAGAGAGAGTGGGTAACTGTGACAATTACACAGCTGTGAAGACCTAATTGAACAATTTGTTTTTTGGTTTCCAGGGTAAAAATAGAGAGGCCCATAGCAGAGGACATTTCCAAATCACTATAGCCTGGTTATACAAATTAAATGGCAGAACACTTAAGCAAAAGAGCTAGTGTCATGAGTATGTTTAAAATTCATTGTTTTCACTATGGATAAGATCTTGAATGGGAGAACTGGGGCAGTCCTGGAGCAGACATTAAGTTCCCATTATTGATGAGCATAACCATGACAACACAATGACAGATACATGATAGTACACCCTAATACGCACAATAAGTGGGATGGCAAGTAGAGAGGTTAATTTACGTATACTCTAATACCAAAAGAACATTTCAGAAGACAGTACCTCTTTTACTGTCTGCCCATTATCCAATGTCTAGTGAAGGCCAAAGCACAGCCCTTAGGTCTGAGCTATTTGAGGTGGTGTTCTCATTAATAATTTACTCAGTGCAAGTGAAGCCCTGCACTGTGGAAAGCAAATGGTCACTAATGTGAGGGGGTTTTGTGAGGAGAAACAGAGTTACTCATTTGTAAAATGTCACAGATTAAATTAAATGGAATTCCTCATTGGCACAGCTGAAGGCTTTGCTGAAGGATTTCATGCAATGTGGGAAATTTTAATATCCCATGTAGTACTGAGAGCACTACCAATTTGCTGTAGTCTTATCGCACACTGAACAGAACCCTTCTTCCTTGCAGGATCATGCGATCCTGGTGGAAAAAATGGTGGGAGATCTGTGCTTGTGTATCCCTTACTACAGCATACATTGCTCAGTGATGACTGCACAAAGAGAGTCCATAAACAAAGGTTTTTAAAAGCTCTGGAGTACTAACTCTTTGTGACACTACACAAAACTAGAGAGTATATGAAATGTCCCTCAAGAGTCAGTAACTGAAAAAGGCAAACCCGCAATGAGGTGTATAAAGTGTCCCCTCTGTGGCACCCTCAGGAGGAAAGGGGGGTGCTCTCACTTGAAAGGTGACATATCTGGATGCCAAAAGAGCAGAAACCTTTGACGCATCCCCAGGAGCCTGTCTGCAAACTACTGGTAAACACTTCAGCATCGTTCAAAGCAGTGAGCGGGCAGCCAATTGCCATCTTCCTCACATCAATAACCCAGGTATGTATTCCTGACAGACAGATCCGAGTCTCCTGGCTCCATCCAGACTGGGTTGTGGGACAACTTTACAGCTCGGCGGAAGGGCTGACTGTTCGTGACAAATTAGCACATTGCAACAGCATAGGGGAAATTCTTTGAGGTTTTTAAGGTACCACTGGATGGGAAGGCAAACACGCTGGAAGCAGATCTCCTGATTAAGGGGTAAAGCAAATGTCAGCAGAAACACAAAACCCTGACGTCTAGCTTTGGGGACCAATCTGCTGCTGAGAGCCATTTTGATAAAAATGGTTTTGGTTTGTGGTGGGGCTGTAATGTACTGTTCATAGTGCTTAGGGCAGGCGGTTCAGGAGCAGAAGGTGCTGCTTTTATCTCATGCGTTTTACGAACAACATACCTGCCTATTTTATTTAATTTTTTTTGCAAAACACATACTTCCCAAAACAATTTTACTGTAATCTCTAGTGTGTTTAAATCTTCAAACAAATTTTAGCCGGATTCATTAGTAAATGGCAATATCAGAAAGGTACAACAAATTTGTATTCATATTGAATTTATATTGTTAATTGTGGAAGAATTATAGCAAAAGATTAGCATTCATGCAGTTCTACCCCTTGTTGGAGACTCTGGACACTAAGACCATATGCATAGTCGTATCTGACAAATTTAACCACACTTTACTCACATCATTTCCAGAAACATGCTCTGGAAGTCAAGCCATGGGGCATGTTAAAAGGTTAAAGAAACAAAATGCATTTTTGCATTTCAGTGTAGATTCATGGCAGATATTCATGCCAGAACATAACGTTATCAAAAGAATATATAAATATATAAAACATTCTTATTTCCAGTCATCAGCACCGGCTAATTTGTATTTGTTGACATTTGTTGTGTTATCAGAAAACCTCATCACACCACTGGAAGCTAGCTATTCCAGTCAAGCGTTCTTTTTATTATTCGGGTTAAAAAAATAGACGTGGTTCATTTCGCTAGCTCTCGACTTTTCAGTGAATTTTAATGAGCCAGATATAATCTAATACTAAACACATGGCAGATGTTAGGAGAAACCTGTGTGCAGATGAACTCAACCCTGGGGACTAAACAGTAATAATGGAGAGAATGCCCCTCAAATTGTACTGACAAACTGACTGTCATGTTGAGACTTTTGTGCTCAAAACAAGGACGCACAGAACTTTGTCAGAGTAGAGCATTAACGTACCTATTCATACAGCTGCAGACTTCTAATAATTAACTCTAAGTCGATGAGGACAGAGCATGAAAATAGATATCTGCATCCTAAAAGCATAATCTGTTAATGGTCCAGTAGCAGTCGTTACTTTCAGCAAGCACAGAAGGATTAAAGGAAGATGCTCTATTTACTCTTAGATGGTCTTCTGACATGTCTCAGCCCAGCAAGGAACTGATTTCTAGTACACAACTCATCTCATGAGTTTCAACAGTACAGCGTTCCTTAGTCACTCAGTGAGCACCCTGTAGCCAAGTTGATCTCTTGTTTGGAAGGAGCCTACTAGACTTGCATGGCACCTCAACAGCTAGCTCACAGGCATACAAATCACACTCTGCTATTAGCAGAACTCACTACACCAGGGGTCTCCAACTCTGGTCCTGGAGAGCTAGGTAAATACCAGAGCCAGGTGTGGCTCATCAGAAGCCAAGTGGGACAGAAAACCTACTGGATAGTAGCTCTCCAGGACTGGAGTTGGAGACCCCTGCACTACGCTCTGGTGACACAGAGAAGGCAGAAGATATTCGAAGTAATGCCACATTACGTCAAGACTCCCATCCAGGCACCCTGGATGCTGGAATCAGCCATAAAACAGAAGCAGAACATTCTCACAACGTTCATTGAACAAAATGTCTTACAGGGGCCATGGGTTCACAGATGCTGTGCTGAGCACGATGGATAAACTACCCTCCCGGGTCTAAACACTGAACCCACAGAGGGAAAAAACGTCACATGTTCCATTTTGCCCAGGGAGCAGTACACACAAGGGACGTTACACTTCAGTAGTTTTTGCCTTAAACGATCATGACACCGTTGCTGAAATATGGGCACGTTTAAAGTTCAGGAACATACAATTCAGCAGAAAGGGCATTTTTGTGCTTTGAACCAGACTATACAGTAAGAAATATTAGTATAGAGGAACAGATAAAAGGATCATGGACCAGCTTGGATAAATTATCGTTTCCCAAGTGTGTCTAAGTAGGGAATGATTGTGGTTGACTGATTGTGGTTGACTGATTACTTGTCACTTTCTTTATAAGAATCAACATTATTTTAGACCACCAAGTTGCCAGACCAGGCTAGTTTTTGATTCCCTCTGTAAATGTTTTGCCACGGTATCGTTCCAAAATAAAAAAAAATTTAACTTAAAATTTCATTGTATGGGTGACCATTTTATACAGCAATTATCACAAACCAATTCAATGACTGAATAAAGCAGAGGTTTACAGCAGGGAGAAGAAAACATGGCCATACCTTTCTTGCAGGATCAGTTTGTTCTCCTTCTTCCACATGTCTTTGAAATCAGTGGAGAACTCATGCCACACAGAGAAGAAGGTGTTGGGGGAGACTTCTTTCTCTCCCATCTTAGGTTTGACTGAGAAGAACACTGTTAGATCCAAGAAGCTGGAGACAGAGTGGGGCAGGAAGGTGAAAAAACATTGTTAACACAAAAGATGAACTGACAAAAATTGCTGAAATGTATTTACTATTAGGGCTGGGTGGTAGGAGCATAAAATTTCTACCATGGTATAATTTAAAACAATGGTGGTAACGGTATATATCGCAGTATTTTTGTTTCCTAAAATTTCAATATAAATGCTTCTAAAGGGGAAAAGCACTGGTATGGTAGTTATTGCTGTTCTCTGAATTGTATTACTAGGACATATTTCATATTGTATTTTAGCTGTTACGCTGGTATTTTAAGAACATATATTTTGCGGAAAAAAAACTACAATCATAAAAAAAATACAAACCTTTACCATCTTCCATGTCTGAAAAACTTTTTCATGAAACTAATAAAACCAAGCTGCACAAATTGAAAATTAAAACTGACTTCAAGTACTGCAGGACGCGTTTCGCTTTGAGCTGATAGAAAAGATTACTTGTGTTTCCACCCCATGAAACCACCATCACCTGACATAATTTGTAGATTATCGTTTTCTTCTCGCGGTCTGACTTTTTAAATCCGAACCAATTCCATATAATGGAAGTTCCACTGGTCTTTTTAACCAGCTCCTCCTCTTCGTTTTGCACAGCTCTATCAGCCATGAAGAAGAAGCCTGCTCTACCAGTTAGCATGGTATTGTCAAAATCAATACCTTAGGGCAAATTCATACCGGCGTACCATATATACTGTTTATACCATTCACCCTTACTTGCTATAAATTAAAATGTTTTGGTCTGGAAATAGGACCTTAAGCAGAAAGATCATACAAATGATATGGCAGTTGCTAAAGTATAACATGCAGCAAGAATGAAAATGGCAGCTTGACAAAGAAAGATTGTTTGCTAAAATTTCTGGATGAAGACACAAAATTAGAGCCATACTTTCTGGCTATGGTTATAGCATTCTTTCCTAATGTGATTAAATTGCTTTAAATGTTTTGTCTACATGTCAAATCCTATAAATGTAAAAACGGTATATTACTTTGAGATATGTCACCCCATGTTTGCACCTTTAAAGCTAGAACCTTACATTGCAATAATCTTAACGACAGACTACTTGTTAAAAGGAAATTTAAGCCCACTCAGGTTTATCAAACACACTCCAAATGAGACAAAGACAGACATCATGCATGTATTACATGAGCTTTGAATTAGGGCATAAAAAGCATTACTGCAGACTTAGCAGGTAGTTAAATCAATGGATGGCAAAAAGCTGGAAAGTTATATAAAGCAGAATTATAAAGTTTGCTAATCTGTACTTTTAGTTGTCATTTATCTCTACTCTCAAATTATAGAAATATTTATGTATTAATGACCACCAACTGCTCCCTGAACTCACTGTTAATCCCAGTTCAACCAGTGTCCATGTTAACACTGGAGCCATTGCTATCTGGATAAACACAGGGCCTGTTGCTTTCATCCCATCACTGGGTCCTCGTAACAAGCCGGCGAGACATGAACACTCAAAGTGGCTTCCTCAGCATCCCACAGGACAGCTGCCAAGGTTTTTGGCATAGGCACCGTGTGGCGCATATGCAGAAATGACAAATTGGCCCTAGAATTACAAGGGCTAAGCCCCATACATAAGTGTGTGTGTGTGTGTGTGTGTGTGTGTGTGTGTGTGTGCGTGCGTGCGTGCGGACAGCTCGGTTTTGCGGCTGTCTGTGTCACTCGGTGTAAAGGCCAAAAGGCAAATGCTTTCTCCTGGCAAAATAAAAACAGCAAAGACAGTGTTCCACACAACATAAACACTCCTTACATTTTGTGTGTTTCGGTGAGCTTCACATCTTGGTCGTCTAGTTCAGTCTTTGCTGTGAATGCGGAAAAGGAGAGAGAGAGAGAGAGAGAGAGAGAGAGAGAGAGAGAGAGAGAGAGAGAGAAAGCCGTGATTGCACCCAGTCTATTTGCACCCCCCCTTCCTAAGACTGCCCTCACAGGATTATACAATAGGCAGAAGATAATAGTAGTAAATAATGATAGTGCATCATTACTCTTGGGAAGACCACTTACTGTAGGAATACTATCAGCCGTGCTGTAATTCAGTGCTATACCTCCACTGTTTGCCAGGATTAGGGGTATTTGAAAGGATCATTTCAAGTGGCAACTGGAAAGTTGGCCGCTCCCCCATTAAACTGTTTACAGAGCCTTTTACAGATAAACTGTTTACATTCCCCCCCCCAGCACACAGGTGATAAATCTCAGCAGGCTGCAGGTATAAACGTTTCATAATCGGACCCGATTAGCTGCCGAATTTGCCCAAGGCTGATCCCGGACGGGCATCCTGACTGAGGGTGCCTGGGCCGTCCTCTGCGTCCAGAGCGGCCAGGTTCTGAAACAAGACTGCCTTTTGTGCGGCAGGAGGAAGTCTGACAATCCCCAATCCATCTGCCAGCTGGAGCACATATTTACAGTATGCCCTGTATTTCAGCAAGCCGTGTAATCATACTGATATGGCACAAAAGACACCGGAAGAACCATTTTATTTCCTCTCTGGAAAGGGGGAAGGAATGAACTCTGAACATTCTTAGCATTGCTTTCAAATCACATATGTTGGAAAATTCCACATTTATTTCATTAGATGACACCTTTATCCAAAATGGCGTACATTTCTCATGCTTCCCTGGAACACTACACTAAGTGTCTCGTTACAAATCCATGCTTTTAACCACTGAGCTACTTATAACCCCCACAAAAGGCAGAAACCCCACAGAAATCCAAAGACCTGGACTACCCCTTGAGTACAACATATGCAGATCTATGCAGGTACACCTGTGATAAAATGCACATAATCCACACCAATCTCTTGCCATTAAATGTCGATTAAGGACATCAACACACACTGGCCCCTGTCAATAGAACTTCACCAGATCATCGCGAATGGGAAAAATCAAACCAATGAAGTATGAGCGCACTTGTCAGTTGTCAACCATAGCCACATTCAAGACTGGGGGGGAAGGCTGACAAGTTCCATGGTCTTACCTTTCAAAAAAATAATTATAAAAAATCTGTGGAATTATAAATGGCCAGACTTCCACTCTGAATTGATGATTGAAAGGTAGAACTCTATACCATGAATAAAATGAACTTTTTTGTAAACTACATGTGAATTTACACAGTTTGTTATCAGGACAGGGAGACGCACACTGGAGCACTTGCCTAAGCCCCCCCCAGCAAGACAGGGCAACGCAGTTATTCAACACCGCCTCCCAGACACTCAGGAACTGGGGAGACAGGAGATCAATGCTCTGATCTTCAGGCCTCCTTTCAGGGAAGATCGAATCATTGCACGTAATTGAAGCCAGAAGCCACATCTGAGCACTCCTGACGTGTCAAATGCAAAGATCTACTGTTCCAAAAGCTAAATCTGCCCATTGATCTTTTTACATGTGGTACCTATTGTTTGTAGATAATCCATCACCAGCAAAACACAGTTTAGCCTACAACGGCAGTGTATTCTTAATTAAGGGTAACAGAAATGTTACCACTTCCACACAGTGGTACAAATAGGGTACAGTGCCATGTAATTTTACGGACATATGCAATCGTTCAGGCTGCTTCCCTTACAAAGTGACTGCTTTAATGCACGTATGTAACGCATATATAATGTAATAGCTACATGTTAGATGCCATTACTTAAATCTTGGTTAGTGGTACCCTGGAGGCAAAATCTGGATACTGGATTTGATCAACAAATAAAATTTTTATCACCACTCAGATACTCCCTTCACTCTTTGCATAAAGATTGCCCCCCACCCAGATACAGATTATTTTCCATTTGTGGCCTGGTGTTGAATCAGTACCAGGAGTAAAGCAGTCATCTGGCTCTCCCTCTGTTCCTGGGATGATGTATACATGTTATGCTCAACTGTCCAACATGCATTCTCAAGAACAGACTTAAGACAAGCAGGTCATTTTTTTTTTTTTGTGGCCGGGGGTGGCACAATCACATTTTTGCTTCAAACCATAAACAGTGCGGGGGGGGGGGGGGGAGGAATCTCAGGGAATTACATCTCTGCCTTGGACTGATCAAAGAGTCAATAAAAATGGAATGATGCACGTCGATGTTAAGAAAACGTCTGACGAACACGGAATGGATCTTGCAGGGCTGGTTTCACTTTTCATGGGCAGTGGGTTTGGTTTCACCCAGGGATTAAGTAAGACTCATTAACATGCATGTAACAAGGCCTATTACTATGAAATGCAATGTCCACCCCCCCCCCCCCAAAAAAAAAAAAACCGTCCTGAACCTGTCCCCCCCAATACAGATGGTGGAATGGCAGGATCAAACACTGGTCTGCCTCCCCACCGGCAGAACGGCGCGGTTGCCAACACATCCTTTCGCTCGCGTTCAAAGACACCGAAGACAAAAGAGCACACATGTGCAAGAGATTAGGACGCTATTTGAATACAGTGTTCAGCCGTCGCGGTGCTGCACAGGCGAATACAGACACCCGCTCCTTTAAAGTTGTTTAATCAGTCAGAAACAGTAAAACAAATACTTAGAAAACAAACAAAAATGGGACAGAAAAGGATGTGCATTAGATTTATCACTGCTGCTCATTCCACTTCCAGTGAATCACTGTAGTTTTATAGGACAGCCGGATAAACAGCTATAGAGCTCAAACTGATCTCATGCGAGCAGTGTTTAGTTTACTTCTCACCATAGGGGGTGAGGGGAGGCAAGGTGTACTGGAATGAGGAGGCGAGTGATGCTGTGTTCACAAGGCTAACTTGCCAGCAGCTGCCTGGGTAAAGTCTGGGGCTTCCTCGGGGCACGACGCAAAAGGTCAGCACGCAAGGCACACTGACAAATTAGCGTGTGGCTGCGGTTAGCGGCGCCGTGTTTGCGGGTCACCGGGATAAGGAACGCAGACCTCCCTGTAAAGCAGGGCTCTCAAACTCCAGTCCTGGGGGGCTGGAGCCCTACACAGTTTTTGGTTTACCCTCATTTAACACACCAGATTCAACTCCTTGTGCTAATTACCACACAGCTCTTTAGCTGAATCATTTGTGGTGTAAGGGGGAAAGAACTAAGCTATACAGGGCTCCGGGACCCCAGGACTGGAGTTTGAGACCCCTGCTGTAAAGGGACCTACAGCCTGACACTCTGATCCAGTTCTCCGACACAGGTTCGTGAATCACGTGTAGAGGGTAACCTTCTGCATCTTCTAGGAGACCAGGCCTGCTGTACACAGATTTCACGCGAGTTACTCAGTCACAGCCCCAGCAGCCGCAATCCACTGACTGCCTCACACATTTAGTGCACATGCATCCCACCCGAGCACACTAAAGCTGAGCTAACGACAGCTCGTAACCAAGGCAATGAGAGCGATAAAACAATCCTAATGCACGGCAGGGCTCCAGCCCAGAAGCTCCATATAACCATGACATTTCATAGCCTTAAACTAGATGAGAGAAAGCAAATGGTTGGGCTTTGAGGATTACTCTAACAGCACCACCCTTCCTAGCGACTGGCCAGCCCTGAATGAGAACAACAGCTAAGCTGCCTTTGTGACAAAGTTATCAGTATCTCACCCTCAGTCCAAACTCCTCCCCTGAGGACGGCTTAATCCACCTTACCTTGGTGCAGGAAGGTATCCATGTTGTCCTTGAAGGGCTGCAGGTGCTGCTCAGACGACTCCCGGCACACCTTGCCTGTCTCCACGTTACATGCTGAAACACAAGGTGGAAGCTTTCAGCCGCATATTTCAACATGTGTGTTAATGTCGAAACAAACCCAGTCACAGTGACAAGTAGATTCCTCCAGATGGCCTTCCATCATTCCCTACATCTAAAATCAATCAGCTGTTGTTCTGTCGCCCCCATTTCCACCACCTACAGAGAAGATGCCATAGTCCACAGAGCAGAATTTCCTCAAATTCAGTTTTCAGTCCTTTAAGGAAAAGCAATGAACCACACACAGGTTTGCATCTGATTTAACTTCAGCCTTTAGGGATTAAGTTTCTGCATCTTGAGCAGAGCAAATGTGCTTCTGGTGTATAAATATGGATATTTGGATTTTTTATTTTTTTATTTTATATTTTTTTTTACCTTTTTGCCTGAACTAAAAAGTTTCACTCAGTTTCCATGAGCTTCAACCAACGGAGCTGAAAACACAAACACTCAGTTCAGACAGACAAGGGAGAACATTTGGATAAACATTCATTCATTCATTCTGCTCATCCTATGCAGGGTCGGTTGCTGGGGTCGGGAGTCAACCCAGGAAACAACAAGCTGAAGGCTGAAACCTGGATGGGGCATCAACTCATCGCAGGGCACACACACCATTCACACACACCTATAGACAATTTTTCCAATTCACCATAGCATGTTTTTGGACTTGGGTGGGTGGGTGGCTGGAGAACCTGGAGGAAAGCGCATGACAACATGGGAAGAACAAGCAATAACTGCAGTTTGCACAAAACAAACAGACCAACACAAAATATAAAAAAAAAACAAAAAAAAAAAAAAACACACTTGTTTTTGGCATTTGACACCTGTTTAAAGAAGTGCTCTTAAATATGTATTAGGAGAGATAGGTAAGGCACAAATATGCAGCTAAGGCAGGCTTGCAGAATCTCTGTGAAAGGCCACAAGTCATGCATGGTCAATGCCGATGACGAATTAGGAACTTGCATGCCAAACACACAAAATCTGAATACCATCTGGCCCATTTAGAGGAATGTCTTGACCCGGGTCCAAGAGGAGCTCAGAGCTGTGGTTACCTAGTTAACCTGACTGTCAACGAGTTTAGCATCTGCCGCAACAGCTCAGGCTGCAGACGTGCACATGCCTTGTCGAGGATGTACTGGTGCCATTGCATTAAACCGAATAAACCCACAAGGTATGAGGTGAACTGTCAGGTGAGAGAATCCAGGATCTCAAAAATGAGCAAATTTTACTGTCAGACAAATCTGTCTGCAGAACAGCCCATATATAGGTATATATATATGAATATATACGATAGGAAAAACATGTTTTTCAGGTTTAAAAAAAATAATAATGTAAAATGGATTCAGCATTGATACCTGCATTGTCATATTTCATTCCAATTAGGAAAATGCATAGCAAATTATTTAGACAGATGGGGGAAATGTTCACTGTTAAACTAGAGAAATGTGTTACCCTCTGCCTTTTTCAGCAAAATCAGAAATCATTTACGAAATCCCTCCCAGGTAAACCATCCAGGTTACAGTGCCAAGAAAGATAGCAAAAAAGGGGCATGGTTCATTGTTAATGAGTTTGAGTACTCAGTTTTGCCATACCACTGAATAAAATGACAAAAAACAAAAAAGGTAGCAGGTCATTTCTTTGCCTGAAATTTCCAAAATTTGCTCTTGCAGTTTTCCAGCTATTAGCAAGATGAAGGGTTATGCCAGATCATTAAATAAAACCCCAGCACTCTTGTGAGCACGTAGTTATTTGGTAAGGCAAAGTGAGGCAAAATGTGATCACTTTAGCATAATTATGGCACGAATCTTCCAATTTAACAAGCCTGCGGTTGCTGCAGCATGTTAAAATCTTTAAACTGACTACAGGCGAAACACACGAATCCATAATTCACACAATGGTTCAATTTTCTACAAAAAGCCCAACGTAATTAAACAATGCTGACAGACCATGCTGCAACTGAAGCTTACATCTCACCCTAACATTACACCGCGATGTAAATCCATGGCTGTAATGATATTCAGGCTCCGAGCTATGGTGTCTATGGGGGAATGTCCACAACCAGGCTGGGTGTTTTGTCAAATTCTTTGCATCGCTCGACTAACAGTAATAGCGGCTAGGGGTGCCGGGGTTTCCTGAGACTGGGCCTTGTTTGGATTTCGGAAGGACAGTAAAACATGACTCATGGATTGAAAGGGGTCTGCCTGTTGCACCCATCTGGTTCCAATTTTGGGGGCAAGAGCGGCGACCAGATGCTGGTTGTTAGCCCAGAGCTACCGCGCTGCTACGGTCTCCCTGCGCAGAGCACGGTCAACGTCTCCACACTGCTCGAGCACGTGTCGCCCGGTCTCTGATAAAACGGTACCAAAATGCTACGTTTGCCCTGGTATATTTGGTGACTTTCTGATGGGCAGCATTGACATGTACTATGCACGACAAGAATGCACATTGCAGCCGGTATTACTTTGGCCCGAATTACGGAGGGACATTCATCTTGTTCACAAGCTGCTCATAGACCACAGAAAGAGACACCACAGGTATGAAACATAAGGAAACAGACTCACCAGGTAATACCTAAACCAGTTGCCCTTGGTGGAGAATGGGCCTCAAGTAATGCCCACTTTACACCAATCAGATTCAAACATCAATCTCCATTTTGGCAGGCCCCGCTAAACACCCCTACCCAGGCTAGCCATTCCGCCTGTCACACTCATGCTCCCCCACCCCCCACCCAAGACATCACTGCTGGAATGAAATCACACGGGAAGCATTAGAGGCAACTGCAGTGCAAAAGCACAGCAGACAGGTGGTGTGTGTGTGGGGAGGGGGGGGGGATCAAACATCGAGCAGGCCACCTGCTTTGACCCCTACTGCTCTCACTCAGAGGGGGGGCGCTGCGAGAGTCCCGACATACTGGTGGTACTGAGGAGCGATAATCTGGGCCAGGCCATGGAGTAGCTGGGATCAATGCATATGGTTCCTCTCAAGGTAACGCCTAAACGCTTGACATGCTGTTAGAATACGTGTCCGCCATAATTCACTCTTTAACACCGTCTTCATACCCAGACACAGGGATTCCTAAAGTGCGATGCTCTTTGAAAACCATTTCAGCCTTTCAATTGCTGCAATTTGTTTTGGTTCCCTGATATTGGATTTTATGGGGGGCTGATGGGGAAATAAGGCAATAAGAATTTAAACTGATACACAGATGCTCAGATGTTCTTTTCCAAATGTTTTGAAAACCATTTCACCTCAAGTTTGATTTCAAAAGTCCTACTATAGTAATACATATACAGCGTCTAAACAAGCGGTGATCTCTAGCTCGCTAAACGGCGAGCAAACTGAAGTGAGTAATTACTTTCTTTTATCTACTAATGAAGGCCACGTCCAGATCCTTGTAACTCTCAACATCACAGGAGTTCAGACCACATGATGTACTTCCTGTTTCTCCTTATGACAGCCTCTGTATTATACATCACTTTATTTTTATGTTTATCTTTGGACTTATCACACTTTGGGTATTTTAACTAGCTAATCAAGATGAAACCCATTTACTCTGAAGTTAAAGGAAAAGTTGTGTTTATGTAGACAAGATCCCAGAGCTAACCAGAATGACAACACAACCCATTATCAAATGTTATCAATCATTACGAACATTAGTAAACTAGTGAATAAGTGAAGTGAAGATTAGTGAACAAGTGCTTAGACTAACAGGCAAAATTATCTATAGCATAGAAAATATCATACAACTACAACTCTTCTCCATTTCGCTTAAAAAAAAATCTTAAATTAAAAAGCCAGATCTCATGGTCTTTTAACTCATCCAAGAGTGCAAGTTCTGAAATGATATATTACATATTAATCAGAACAAACATACAATTCCCAACAGCCAGATAAACATGCACTAAAAACCAACCATATTAAAGAGTTGAAAGGAAATTCTTTAAGATGAGAGTGGTGTAACTGCCAAAACATGGCTTATCCTAAGTGCCAAATACAGTTGAATCTTTCAGCCCAGTAACCTAAGGATACGTGTTAATTAGCAATTGGCTGAGATGGCAAAAATAATAATTTTCATAATTGAGTGCTCCTATCCAAAACAAACCCTTCTATGTCAAGCGTAATTATAGCATACATCTGTAGAAAAAGTTTTGGCAACAAAAGTAAAGCAAATTGGGGCACATTTTAAAAAAATGACATCCCTGCATTATCAGGCATATACATTAGTATAAATATAATTCATAGTAATGATAATAATCAGTAGATTCTTCGGCTTGTGTAAGGGGTTCAGTCTCAGTTGACAGCCACACAGTCTGGGACTTTGAGGAATGACAGCAACGCATTACAGCAAAAAGCTGACTGCAGAGCTCGTAATCCTTTAGCAGGGAAGTGAGCTGGATAAAATCTCTGCTCATCACTCAATGCTGGGGGGCAGCTACAAAACCCAAAGAAATCCTGCATCAGAATAAAGATGTTCTGTGCCTTTGTGATGGATGGAAAATTACCCTAAACTGAACCACCACATGGCTGATGAGTTTGCTGCCCCACAACCCCTCATAAGCAGGGCCTCCATGCTTTTAACATATGGGTCAAATTCTCAAGATGGGAGGGGATGTCAAAGGGGATTCAGCGTACCGTTGAGGTCCTTCCTTAGCTTTCGCAGGTCTTTTTGGAAGTCCTCAAACTTCATCTGCGACGCCTGGAAGAGGTCCTGCGGTTCGGGAAGAGGGTAGACACAGGTCTCCCTACCCGCATCCTGTAAGCCAAAATGAAATATCCTGAAGACAAGGCCACATAACATGCTGACCCTGAGACCTGCTACGATATAATAGCAGTAAACCCCCGCCCCCCTTCCCCAAAAAGGACAGCGGACTGACGCAGAATGCAGCAGTCTGGCAGGCTTAGGCGAGGTCACCATGTCCTCTGCTGACACTCGCATGCCATGGCAACAGGGGAAAAGCAAAGGAGATGTTTCATGCCACGAGTCTGAATCAAAACTTGCTGTGGAAAGCAAAGCAAGGAACGAGAGCTAGAACAGGTTCTGTGACCTTGCTTAAATTAAATACAGAAGTCATCTGCAGTAATTCATTTTGAAATGTGCTTAGAAAACAGAGGGGAAAAAAGAGGGTCCCTAAAAACAGAGTATGTCCCAAGGCACTTATTAATACCACAACAATACATAAGCAGACATTAATATCAAAACGTCCTCCATGTGCCTCCATACCGCTGTAATCTTAGAACAGTTATGATATCAATAAAAAGGCTTTCATACAAGTTCAACCTTAAGCCCATTAGAACACTTGAGAAAATGAGTTCCCCGCAGCGCTTATCACGATGGCTGTTCTTTCACTCCCTCACCCCGAACCCCCATTACTGTGCCAAGCAGGAACCGGGCCAAATGAGGGAGAACCACTAGCATTTTAACCCCATTAAAATCAGGAACCAGGGTCAGGGTGTTAGTAAAGCGGTTTAAAAAGGTCATATTTAAATAAGTTACTGTAGTGATAACTAATCACACTACATACTATTAAAACTCAGATAAAAATCAGTAATAATTTTTAAGTAATAAAATCAATAAATGCCAACCAGACTTAGAAGCATTATGGAAATTAAGAGTAGCATAACTGGTTGTTTCCCTGGGGTTCATAGACTACATAGCTATAGATTGGCGCAACATTAAAAGGGCTAAAGATTGTATATGGAACAGTGGCACAAATCTCTTAGAGAAAGAACTAGATTTAAGTACCTGACACTAGTACATTTACTGAAAACAGTGTTTTAAAGGAAAACATATAATTTCTGGGGAAAATAAAGATGTCTAGTCCCAATACAGACAAGAAGGAAACCTTTGTAGGGGTCACAAAAAAGAGAAACAATACATTCTGGTATGGCATGACAATGAAAAAACCACATTATAGAATGGAGAGAGTATCACATGGCTGAATTATACAGTGCATACAGTAGGGCCCCTCTAGATCTGAGGTTCGACTGTCTGCATGTGCCATCAAACTGGGCTTTTACCATTGCAAACCAGAAGGGCGACACTGATATTGACAGAGTTTGAAATAGATTTTGATTGTTAAACATACCTCATCAAAGTGCCTTAAATAGTAAGAAACTATGTAGGACAAGAGACTCTTCACGTTATCCTGAAAAAGAAAAGAAAATCAGCAGGTTACATGTCAGGCAGATAACCGGGTTTGAATCACAGTTTGCACAATTACCAATTTGAATAAACGCAAACCAGCCTGACATACGGAATATTAAAGGACTTTTTCATTTCACCATTACTTCAGTCAGAGTGAACGACAGCATAACCACAATGGTTGGGCAGAAAAACAGGTTGTATCCTTACACTGCTTTTAACATCCTTCAGTTTGGGCAGAATGTCCAGCGCAAAGCCATCGGCCTGCCCTCGGGTCCGATTCCCACCATTCATGAAGTTCCCAAAGGCAAGCACCAGGCCCAGCACCTGCATGACCCCAGTGCCGCTTCGCAGAGTCTGCAGAGTGGCAGAGGGTTGGGGCTAAGTCAAAGTCAAAGTCAACCCCTGCCTGGTTTAGCTTAATTCAAACCAGCAGAGTAATGAACTGGAGCTAGAGTAAAATGGTACACATGAGGCTGGTCCAGAATATATTTCAAGGCCTTGTGTCAATCATGTCTCTCAAATACTGAGGAGCTGAGGCTGTTTTATTAAAAGTCGCCTCACCTGAGAAAAGCACTCAACACTTCGACCACATCGACCTGGCATCGGAGTGCACAGCTGAACAAAAAGCAGCATAGAGGGGGAAAGAGAAACTCACCGTACAGACTTTCTGAAGTGTCTCCAGCTTGCGGAGGATTGAGGATATGCACTCAGTGAAGGTAGACTGAAAGAGGATGCAGAACACTCTTCCGGAAAAATTGGGGATTTGTGACAACTGGAAGAGGAACCTACAAGTGAAAAATGCACATTAGCAGTTGTGTGTTTAACAGGGACTCCATATTATGAAAAGATTCAAATAAAAACACCAATATAGCCAATATAATTTCAAGTCCACTCATTGTCAAAAGACAAAAAAATCAGAATGATTTCACAGAACTAATGTATTCCGATCTTCTGCTATGCGGAAAAAGGAAAGAAAAAAAAACAGCGAATGCCGAACTGATGTAAAAATATCAGTAGGGGACTTTCGTCTTAAAGATCAAGACAATGTTATTAACACACATAGTCTGTTCCTGCCTTGGAAGAAGCACTACTTCAAGTCAACAGCAGTTAGCTGAAATAAGAAATGTGGGAATTTAAGTCAATATTACAGTGAGAAAACAAAGGAGGCTTCATCAGGCTGAGCACCAGAGAGGGTTTGTGCTTCTTACTGTTCAGGTTTGTCCAGTGGTTTGGCACCGTCCTTCTCTTTAGATGACTTGATGTGCTTTTCAATTTTCTCCTGCTCCTCTGACTGAGCTCTCTGAAAATATGTTATACATGCCAGGAATTATCTTCCTGCTCCAGGTGCACCCCCTGACTGATGCTTTAGGTAATCTGTGAAGAATAATGAACCCTTTCTCCCTAAAGTGAGATGAAGCCAGGGAAAAGGCCTTTGGTCAAAAGCAACACACTCTTACACGGCAGTTTGAAGGTAATCAATCTCCTTAAATGAATGAAAACTATAACCATTAATGCACAACACGGAAAACCTCACCATCTAAAACACTTCTTCACTATATGTGTTATAAAAGAAGTAAAATTTTGGTTCAAAACGCCAGAATTACAGAAATGTTCAGTAAAGAAAGTCTGAATGCCACATCTTTGTATGCCACGCATTCCATCCACGACAAACAAAGAGAAAAATGCTAATGACTAAAAAGAAATGCACAAAAACGCAGAAAAAGTCGGACTGAGAAAAATGACTCCCGAGGAGCAGCAGGCAGGATTTAATGGATCCTTATTTTATAGTTATTATATTATAGTTATGTTTTGATTTATAACTAAACTGGCAAGATGGTAGCATTTAAAACTTCTAAAGCAGTTTTTCCATTTTTATAAAAAATAATTTTATGTTAGTCCCCATAAAGATACAGTGGCTCACCTCCAAAATTGAGTGCCAGGCAGCTAAACCCGCTGAAACTAATGGGGGGGGGGGGGCGCACCACATACACTACAGATTCCGAATGATAAAATAATCGTGAAGACCTCCTGTAAGGTTTCTCCGGTACATGTGGATTACAAAAAGCATCCCCAAAAAAAAAAACACTACAGTTGCATCTGTTCAATCAGGTGCATGGTTCCTAGGGCTCTATAAAATGTCCCCACAACACAGAACCCGCTCACACAGAACAATGAACTCAGGCACACATTCATCCAGCAGAAAATTATAGGAAATGGTCTGAGTTGTTCGAACATGTCATTTGTAACATGTCAAATCTCAGTGCAGGCCATCAGATTTAGAATGGTTCATGCTTACTGTCAAGATAATGCGTATAAGACAATACACAAAAAAAAATAAAAAAATTACAGCTTTACAAAATTTGCTCAGGGATCGCAGAGATTCCACAAATGTGTGTATACAGAGGAAATGGGGGTGGGCAGGCACAACAAAACCAGACGTCTTGGAATTTATTCTGAATTTCCTCCAAGTAAGAATGTCTATGAGAAGCAAAAAATGAAAACTGCAATCATAAGCAATAATAAAATCAATTGTAACTCATTTTAAAATGAAGACGTGCCTTTAATATCTTGGCAGAAAAAAATGTAAATGAACATAAACTTGAGAGCATTTGGACCCATTAGACCCCATCAAGAAAAGAAACGGGGGGGGGGAAAAAGAAAAATCAAACAAAAGGAGACCAAGTTAACTTCAAGGCCCAGTACATGCATAGTTTTGCAATACTTCAAACGAGGGCATCAAACAGAGTGATTAGTATTCTGTTCACTTTGCCATCTGTCTACAAGAGCAGGCTCTGCTTCTAATTTGCAGAGTGTTTTAAAGTGTAAATAGTTTTAATACAAAGCAGATTCCTCCGTCTGCAAGCAGAATTATGAATGAGCGCAGTAAACGAGAAACTAAGATTTTATCACAAGATAAATAAATTGATAAGACTCTGGCTGTGGAGTATCGGTAATGACATTATTGGAGTAGATACACATCAAGCTAGAAAATAGGCTACCCCAGGAACACATTAAAAAACAGGACGACGAAAATTAATTGTGAGGTGACCCCAAATCTCACGTCCAGCTGCCTGTGAAGGAGTATACTGTACCTCTAACAACTGCATTTTCTACAGGACAGTCCATTTAAGCATCTCTCAGTTTTCTAACTGCCAAACCGACTGACAGAGACAAAAATGTCCCAGCATCTCATTTCAACTCTGGCCAGAGAAACACCGATGACAGTGGAGGCTGCTTGGTCCCCAAGTGGTTACATGACTGGCAGGACTGATGCCACAAGAGCCCCTCACCTCCCACGTACTGCCATCAGCCCACTGTTCCCAGGGGCGCTCTGGCCTCACGCTGCCAATGTGGGCCACGACACACTGTGGTTACGAATTAGGGTACGGAGACAGGATGGAGTCGCAAAAAGTCCCGAAAAGCTAAACAAAGCTAGACTGACTCAGCAACGCTTCAGACGCACAAGGGAAATAAAAGGCTTTGATCCCACAGTTACGACATATTTGCTTGGACTGAAGCATGTCTCGTGTCTTAGGAAACTTTTTCATAGACATCATTATGAATATGGCCCTCATTAATTCTGCTTGTTATGTCGATAGCTATAAAAATGCGAAAAATTTCATTATATCTACCAGGAATACAACTGAAAAACAAGCCATTCTGCTTAAGTAATGCATTTTCTTATAGAGAGACTTCCATAAAACAACACACACTAATGGTACACTGCTTGATTACTTATATTCTAACAATGAAGATGTGTGTTGTCATTTAAGTTATAAAAACAGCACAGATTAAGTTAAAGAATAATGTGGGGGCAGAGACTGAATAACAGATACGTCACTTACTGTTTGTACAAAGACATGACAGCCTAAGAGGAAAAAGCACCAGCTCACCTAACCCATACAACAGATTGCCTTCCCCAAAATGAGTCATCTCTTGGGGGGGGCGATGGGCACAACACGCCTCTGAATGAGTACTAATGGTAAATGACACCATGTCAGACTCCACCAACAACATTCCACTTCTAGGGTTTTCATATTTTGGAATTAATGTGAACCCCCCCTGCAGTCTGCTTTAGACGTGTGCCAGACAGCACCCGTGTTCTGGCCCTCCAACGAGTTCCAAACACGCACAACGTGCACATAAACCCCAGAGACAAAGGTGCTGCAAATTAGGCATGGCTCAAATTAAAGACAGGAGATTAAAAGAGTATATTAAAACAACCATGCTGACACAGTTTAATCATTAAAGGCTGTCTCATGTTCCTGCAACTGCTGTCTGTGAGTAAACAGAAAATTTCCCATTACTGCGTGCATGTATGTCAGGTGCGTCCTGTGAAATTGACAAACAATCCCCTGACCCCCGACAAGAACCTCCAGATTACCAAATGGACACTTACATTTTCATAGAGGGCCTGCAGCGTCTCCAGGTCAACCACAGTGTTGTCCAAGTTGAGGACCGCTGTTGGGGATCAGAAGATCAGACATAGACATGTTAGAGAGCTGTGTGACCTGAGATACACAGAAGGAAACGTGAGAAAAGGGCATTAGCTGCACCCCTTGCAAGAAGTGCTTGTCACGCAGCCTGGAGGAAGTTTGAGGGGCTTGGAGGGGCCGTGATTTCTGATTTGGTTTTTCCAAAAAGCCATCATATCCCACAGCAGAGGGCTACATGGCAGGCCAGATGTCAGAGGCACTAAAGACCTATCTGCTCTGACCAGATCCCAACTAAGGCTAAGGTTAAAGAAAATGGGTACCAGCACAACAGAAGTTTGTGTTTCACATTCCTGAAACTGGCTTAAACCAGGGACCCCTGACCAGGTTGAAATCTTCGGGGCTGAAGGCCAACAGCTTTACACACGATCTAAGCATATTTCTTTCCGATTCCCACAGAAGTCACTGCCACCCACTAATATGGCCCCCCAAGCACCCCCTACCAAACATGACATGACTAAGCAGCTTAACAGGGCTACAGTGAGTCTAGAAGCAATTAACTAAATTTTGCCTTTCTTATCAATATACTACATATCACAACTGTCAGATAGTCTGATTATGCCTATTGCGTTTTCTGTAACTGTCTGACTAAATAATGGATATGTTGAGCTTGGAGCCTATTCCAAGGAGCAGAGCTTATGAGGAGGACAGGATGGAATGCCAGTCACAGGGTGATAGCATTCACACACGCAGGCCCACACAGTAAGGGCAATTTGGAGAATCAAACACACATATCTTACATCTTAAGATTGCTGGAAGAAAAAGAGCAAAACAGAAATAAAGAAATGTGCAGTAGTAATGACCTACTGAAACTCCAAATATGTTGCAAAATTTTTCAAAGACAGTGGTGCTAGGGAGCATTCAAAAACCTTAAGTGTAACAACTCTTACAGGCCACAAAGATAATAAGCCTCACATGAATGGCATTTCACATTCAGTAGACAGGTCACTACTTGATTAGTGTTTTGCACTAAGTAGAGCTGAAAAAAATAATTCAAATCTGTTACTTTGTAAGTGAATAAATTAAAAACTGGCTAAACTTAGACACAAACGAAGCAAGCTAGACGTCTGTTTCCAAGAGCTGTTAAGAAAATTAGTTTGACAAACGGAAAAAGCAAGCTCTCCCACATGCATTGCAACAGGTAACGAGCATAGTACTACAGTACTTGCTATAGCAAGGTCTGCAAATACACTATAATCTAAGAGGCTTATTCCTTCTCTTCTCAGTAATTACAAGTGGCTGCCTTTGGGACACAATCATTAGGGCCCATTAAGCATCATCACTGTATAATCTGTTTATATTCATGGCTTGCCCGGCCCTCAGTTAGCCTGTGACGCTTCAGTCCTGCAGTCGCATCGGCACCTGATGGGGCCTAATGTAACCTTAGACCAGCTATACACCTCTGCCAGCACACAAGCGGAAACACTTGCCTACCACATTCTAATCAGTGTGAAAGCCACACGCCACATGTCCTGAAAGGGGGGCGGGGGGAGCTGAGGTCTGTCCGGGAACAAAGCACTCATGTTTAAATTCCTGATGTCGCCTTTTTGTCTGGGCACAGGGATCTGGCGCCCAAAACTGTAATCCTTTAAAAGTAAATGTTTAAACACAAACAGCACAGAAGTTGTCGATTGTTTAATCAGCGATATAGTATTACACTGCCATATTTAGCACAGCTTGTGCGAATGGAACTGGAGGGTTGAACTACCTCTTTTGCACTGTTTTAGTACTATTAAACATGGCCTTGAGTGGAGTTAGCAATGAGCTGAACAAGTCAGGCCACAAGAGGGAGCATGAAAAAGAAAAACTTGACACTGTCAAGGGCTAGTAATTAAACTTTACTTCCACAAAGGCTTTTGGGTAAAAGTACTTAAACACAAAGCAGACTATATTCTGTGAGCATTCTCAAATTTTATGCAATAGAGCCATACTATTTCATCTGAGTAATTACTACTGAACACCTTGCACAACAGGGTGTTGGACTCAATCTTGGGACTACAACCCACAACCCTATATTTTCAAAGTGGGTTATAATGAAACCTGCAATTGGCTAAAGACAGGCAGGGGTCAGTATTACGTCTTGATAGAAACATTAATGCAAATCCTGATACAAGTAAACCAGGGGCCTGTACTACGAAGCAGGGTTACTGGCTAATCATGGTAACTTGTCGAATTTAAGGTAGTCTGGGCAAAATGTAAGTGAACGAATATGAAGTCCATTTAAACTGTGGTACCTTAAATTCGACAAGTTCCCCCGATAAGCCAGTAACCCCGCTTCGTAGTACAGGCCACAGGGGTGGCGAACTTGATCCATAGAGAGCCACTCTGGGTATGGGTTTCTGGGATGACCTATCAATCAGCAAATGAGAGTGGGTCTCCAGGACTGGAGTTGAGAATATTGTTGGATGATTGAGAGGTCACCCCAAAAACCCACGCCCACAGCGGCTGTCTATGGATCAGGTTCCCGACCCCTTGAATAAGCCTTACCGACAAATTAAAACAGTAGGTTTTGGAGAGTTAGAAGCCTATGCAAGGCAATGGAGCACAACACAGAGCAATCTGGATGGAACGCCAATCTATGACATGGCACATCAGATGCTATGGGCAATTCAAAGATGCTAATTACTAATAACTTCACGTATTTGGACTGTAAGAACAAACCAATATAACATGGTATAAAATCTTAAAAACCCTGACAGGTGTGAAGCAACACCGAAGCCACCATGCCACACAAGGATACAGCACAAGGGTCCTGGATAAAAGTGGTTCTTTGCACCAAGAGACATGAGCAGATATCCAGCTTAATGGAGAAAACACACCGGCAAGACAACAGCTGGATGATTAAACACAAAAGTGGACATAGAGCAGCGATTATCCGACAGAATCTCTCAGTAAAAGCATTACTTATACATAAATGGGTTGCAACACAGACATGTATAATTAGTATTATCTGGGTTACTACAACAACCAAGAGACAAGGTGTCTGTCACATCACTTACTGCAAAGTAGTATTTAACAGATGTTTAATGTACAACCCGCTGACAGCACAATTATACATTTAATTTTAGAAACGCATTCCATCAAAATCTGTTGAGTAGAGTAAATATAGCATTGGGATTCTCAACTGCAAAAATACATTTGCAGCAAAGCAGATGAAAGTGAAAATATCCATTTTAATTTAAATTGGAATATTTTTTCCCTACTCATACCCTTCTAAATCAGGCAATAATTCAGTATACACATCTAAAAAGTATTTTCTGAAAAAATACAACTTTTCATTTTCTGGTCCTAATCCATTAAGGCAGCAAATTGGTTATCACTGGTGTGGGAGAGCTATATATTGTAGACAGTGGAAGATTCTTCTAATGTGGTCCAAAGACATATGTTAACATCCAACGGTAACGTCATAAATATACCCTGCAAACCTTGCACAGTGGACAAGATGGAAGATCTCACTGGAAAAAAATAAATTATAATTTTTTTTACAAAGGAACACTCTCCAAAACACATTTAGTGAAAAACAAACCGAGTCTGAGGTATAAAAGGTAAATAAACACATTGCTTAGAGAAAAATTTCAAACAGTAGAAATTCTCTGGGCTCGGTATGAAACAAACAGCATTATATCCAATAACCTCTGACTTCATTAAAAATTAAAAACCACAAACACTACTTTTAGTTTTATAAAGGTTCAGCTTATCTTAGCACAATTGAACCATTTGTATGTAATCTTGATTCTCCAGATATAAAAATGCCAAAAGCAGCTATAAGAGAAAGGTCCATAACCAATTTTTTATTTTTATTTTTTTTAAATCTTTGATAACAGACCTGTGACAAGTGGTTGCCACCAGCATGGATTTCAGGAAATGTCGTGATTCATTTGGTTCTCATTTACTCAAAGTGTAAAATATTTCTGTAGGGAGGGAGGGTAGCAAATCATTGGTGTTAGACTTCCATTCCAATATAGAACCTACCTTTTGGTACCACAAGGGACAACTCACTATACGACTCACTATTAGGGATGGGTATCGTTAGGATTTTATCAATATTACAACTTCGATACTGCTTATCGGTATTGGTCCTCTTATTGGTTCTTTTAGTTATTTTGTTAGAAAAAACATTCAGTTACGAACAGGACAGAAATTACACTGTTTTATTAGCACCTTAACAACATATCCTTACCTCTAATAGCTGTTACAAAATGCGAAAAAATATATTGTGCATATAACACATAAAATAACAGCAGTAAAACTTTATTTGGACAAATTATGGACGAAGTTTGACTACGCATGAAGCAGTTGAAAACTGGGCATTTTTGCATAGTTCCCTCCCTGGCACGAAAGGATTTAATTGCAGTTGCTGCAACAAACGATATCATTGTTAACATTTGTTAAGTTAAGCCACACTTTTGATCACTTAACTCTCCACCAATACTACACTGGAAGAACGCCTCGCATCTGCCAGAGCAGAATTCCTGCCCCTAACACAGACAGGTGAAGGGAAACTGGCCCTGAAGTCTTTGTGATTTTGCAGGTGTTTACTTACAGATGGTGCTCTCATTTCATTAATCTGCTAAAATTCTCCTACTATTATTTGTTTAGTACTGATAACAAATCCAATAACACCGGACTTTCAGTACTCAGGTTTTTAGTCATTTAGAACCGGTTGCTGTTTGGAACCGGCTATTGGTATCATCGCCACTCATTCTGTTCAGATGCACAGATCTACTGTATCTCATAATCCGACAGTTATTTGGTCTTGGCTCTCATTCTCAGACAATGAATATTATTCAGAGACCTACAGCGTCCGATCTATTCTGATAACCAGTCTGCCCAATTATACAAAACAAACACCACAGTTGAATCAGATACTTTTAAGGAGAGACTTCTGCAAGGAGACATTTATAAAACGCAAATGATCCTTCCAAACCTAGACCTGATATTGGTGTTCATAATTCAGATGAATGTGACGGGGATGAAGGAAAAAAGAAAAAATGAGATAGAAGAAAATGCAGTCAGCACCACCCAGTTTCTGAGTTTTCTCCGAGAGTCCAAAACAATGGCAAAACAATGCTTAGACACATACAATTAAATAAACTGGAGACAGAGCCATGAAGAGGCAAATTCCTGAAGTTATAAGGAAGGCAGCAGGAAAGCCACACTCCTTACCCAGTGCCTTCCAACACAGACACACAAGCTTCTGGTATATCCACAGACTCATTCTTTGAATGGGAAACAAGGCCTGACCTAATAAAAATTAGGGGCTAATTCTTCAAGAAGGTAGGAGAACAGGCCCCAGGAAGCTTTAAAATGAAAGACAAAGACTTTCGGCCTTTCCATTTTCAGTTTTATAATAAAAGTAGCCACAGTCCCCAAATGACTCCAATTTTATTATTTCGCTCAGATCTGGCAGGAGATGTTCGAAAGCACACTGCCATGCCAGAGAGCCCTTAAAGTTGGATGGGCCCTTCCACAGTTTCCACAACCAGAAGCTCTTGATGCTATGTGTGAGCAAAGAAATATATGTATATAAGGTACTTCCTGTGCTCCAGGGTGCTCCATTTCAAATAATGTCGGATGGCACTGTTCAAACTTTTGAGGGGATTAATCAACATTGGCCAGATACTGACCGTGCTGAATGTCCTTCATATCCAAATGCAAGCTGGACATCAGAATCCCCACAGCTTGGGATCTCTTGTTGTTCAAAAGCTTCACAACCTGCAAAACACAGACAGAGCCATGAGACCATCATTCAAAGGTTTTTGGTTGTTAAAATGTACCTTACCCATAATGCAAGCCAGAGGCACGGTATTACCACAGGCTGTTATATGCCCCCGTCACAGTGGGTGGCCGTTCACAAGGCTCCTCTACTCCTCAGCAAGATTACACGTAATGACAGCAAATTGATTTTTAAAAGACTGACGTGCCATTTCGTCAGCAGCATGCTCTTTGACATTTATGGATTTCCCACCCTCCGAAGTGTTTATTCGAAGCAGATGTGCTCCAGTCACCTGCTCTTCTCACAGCTCTGTGCGCACTGATTATATGACTAACTTTTAAAACTGACGCGTCCTGACGCAGACAGAAGATATCACTTTGTGAATACAAGTGTCACATGTGATAATCACAGACCCACAGTTGGCCACATATCCCTCTCCATCCACACACAGACGCATATACACAAAAGGAATGCCACTTGGGTCTTGGGTTTCAATTAATGGAACCACTACTTTCTCGTAACCCAGAGAGAATGGCTCTGCTGTCTATTCTCATTACGCTAAATGCTTTTTCAGGCATTGCCTTCAATCCACCTTCTGAACAAGCCAGACAGTGTACATGGCATACATTCTGCGGTTTGACCATGAAAGAAACATCAGGAAATAAGCCGCATGAAATCTTTGTTTTGACCTTTACAGGTCCCAAGGCGCTGAGGAGCTTTTTTGCATGGGAAACATGCACAAAAAAAGTGGGGGGGAGTCAGGAAAATGATAATTAAAAAGGGGAAGGAGGGAGGATTTGTATATGATTAGAAATTAATAGCGTCCATTTTCAGCAAGCAGCTGCGGCACTGACTACCAGTCTGATTAAATAATTAGCTTGACTAGGCTTTTAAATCTTGGCCAAAATGTCTGCTTTGCGAGGGGAAGGCCAGGTCACCACCTCATAGAACTGGAGTTCCATTTTTAAATTTGACCTCAATCTAAGGAACAAAAGGCAATTCTTAGGGACTGTGTTTTCAGATTTTAATCAAAAATCTGGACAATGGTCAGTCTAAGTGGAAGCTTTGGCTGGCACCTGTGCATGGAAACATTTCACAAATCTAAGCAAAAGAACACGCTGGGCATGAAGCGTTACTCAGAATGTAAACAGACAACCCAAGGTTTCACCTAGTTTTCCTTCAATATCACACAGGAGCGTCAACTTCAGCAAAACCAAATAAACCAAATGACCTGCAAAGGTATGTGGCGACGAATAAAAAAATAAATGCAACTATGACCCATAATATTGGCAAATGCCAGGACGGAGATGTGCATTCTGGGGAAGACATTTATTTAACACACACACACACACACACACACCACAACTTGCTAAACATTTACATGCAACAAGAAACCCAATGATGCTGTAAAACTGACAGAAGGGCTAAATATGACTTCTGAGAATGCTGAGCAGCATTTCAGGAAACCAAGAAAAGCAACTCAAAACAACGAGAACACAAAGCGAAATCAAGTTTTTGTCAGAAAATTTGCCTCTCTCATGCATTTATGGTAGAACAAACAGGCTTTTTTTTTGTGCCAATAAAACAGTTTTAATCAAAACTGGTGGGAGAGGGAAATGTCCCCAAATGTTCATGTCCAGAGCTCAGAAAACCCCTATGCTGCCAAAACCTCAACCACAAACATTAGGCAAAAGACAGATCTAGTATCATGTAATCTTCCATTTCTTTCAGTGTTTTCTTTAATAGAGCGGTATAAATCCAGGGTAGCTGCATTATGCAGGAAATGTTTGCCAGAAAGAGCAATTTGTGCCAGAAAGTGTTATACAAACGTACAAACTATTTGGAAGTCCATCATCTCCACAAATTTATGTGGAAATTCACTTGGCACTTGAACAAACACAAAGAGGTTGATGTGAGAAGGGAAGAGAATTCCATCAATTCTTATTTTCATTAACATCTAAATAAATGGAAAAAATGAACACTTTTCCTCAAAAAGTAACTAAATAAATTAACACTTTTTCCTTCTAGTGAATGCCTCTGCGATTAAATGTTTTCCCTGTTCGAGAACATTTTAACATATTTCATTGCTGGTGCTCTTTGCAACAGCCACATGTATATCGGAATAAGATCTGCTCATTATGTATTTAAATAGCTGGGAGAGTTCATCAAGGCAATTCTGAACAATCTTTATAAAAGGATAAAACTAGAGGCAGGCATTTGAGCTAACATTCAGTTCCTGGAAGAGTACATTACCAACTATCTCAGGCCAAACACAAAATGTATTTCATAACTTCAAAAGTGAGATTCCACAACGGGATTCTTAGAGTTCAACCATTAAGGCAACTGGATTTCCAGAACACTGCTCTGCCATCTATATAGCTTCCAGATTTGTTTTTTAAAATGTACTTTCAACTTTTAATATCTAGGTCAAATGGATAAATTCAGCAGTACAAGAAAGTTCAAGCCCTTCACATAAGTACAAAAACAGGAGACCACACGTGTCAAACAGATTAAGAGCAAGGCCTGATTAAGCTTGTGAACATTTTAGATTGAAAGACTGTATGTTGCTTGCGGAGACTGTCTAATAAAATGAAAACGGTTCCTTGTTTTCTAAACCAGACATGGTAATAAACATGTTTTGTTCGAGAAGTAGACGCAGTAGTAATAGTAATAGTAGTAGCAGCAGCAGCAAAGTAATTACTTTGCCGGTTTGGGGGCAGCCAAGGTGGATGGAACATTTTATACAACTTTTATAGTATTCAAACACAAATACCACAGAATAACCTCTGACTGATCCAATACCCTCTATCGGTACTGGGCTGGTACCAGCAAAAAAAAAAAGAAAGAAAATGCTAGATCGGTAATCAGGAGGCGGGAAGCAGAAAACTGAGCCGATTTCAGATAGGACTAGTCAGAAAAATTGTGAAAATACTTGTAGCCTTAGCGCGACATACCGTAAACACAATGAGGGTCACTCGTTCAGTAACGTGCGCCTGAGCTGTCATGTTGGCTGAGTGGAAATGCATTACTGTACATTACGCTGAAGGAAAAAGCAAAACTAGTGTTGATTTTTCTTAAATCTCAACAGAGTAAAACATAAAATACATGTCTTCAGAATTGTATTCTTCCTAAAGTTTGGCTGCCTGCTACTTAAAAGTTTTACCTGTGTACTTTGAATAGTTAGTTGGTATATTTTTTATGACTATTACATTTGACAACAGATTGTACAATTTGTACTTTAAGAAATATTTGTTCATTTTTATGAAAGTTGGTACTGAACAAAACAAAGAAGCAGATTTGTGTAAATCATGTTGGCCGTGGATTTCTTCCCGCAGCATAGTGGCATAGCTTTTGTGTAAGCAACATGACCATTACAGTACATTTCCCTATTCCTAGAATACTCAAACAATGCTGCTACAACACTAAATTTTGTTTGCCACGTTAATTGTAATATATTGATACTAAGCATTAAATGATATACTTGTAGTTCATAGAGGGGAAAAAATATTATAATGGTATTTGTATTGGCAGATACTCAAACTTTTTATATCAAAATCAGATCCATACATGCTCAACTCACGGGTGAAGGCCTTATAATGACATGGTGTCATTTTAAGAAATGGTTGCCAAGGTACTAAGCACCTAATCCAGCAATTACTGGAATAATTACCATCAATACATTAAATGTATCTGTATGGGCAAACCGTTCATGTGGAGGAGGGATCTATACACAAATAGTCCCTTTTAAAACAGAAAAGTTCTCACACATAAAAGAAAAGGCTACAGGTTTCAGAAAGAATCTATGCAGAAATATCAGGTGAGTCCCACCCCCCAGACTGCATGTACTTGCAATTTCACTAGCTCCAAGGATGCCATTTTTAGAACTGAAGAGGAACAGACTTCAAGTCACATGACAACTGCCCACATGGCTGTGTGTAATCCTTGGCTGAGGGCTACAGAAAATGTTCCTCTACGTTAAGCATTGCAGTAACATTCTTCAAATCAAAGGCATGGGGAAAGGCTGATCCAAAGTGTCAGCTGGCCAGACTTTCACACACATTTACAATGATGACTATCCAATTCCAGGCAGCTTAATCATGTGTTACGCTGGTGAACAGTTCTCATGCTTCTTGTCTATTACAAAACAGCACTTCTGTGGATGTTCCAAATGTTTCTGAAACTTTTGAAAACCTCCATGCACAGCTCCTCAATCACAGGGCAACATTTCATTTTGGTGGGCACACAGGATTTCCCCATTGCAGCCAATCCATGGGACACACAAGGAAAGGGCCAGTTTTTTCACTGCTGTTTTACCTCTCAGCAGCAGCCGGGCTCCTGTGTACTTTTATAATGGATAAAAATACTCCATTTTAATCCATTATTCATTTCACTTTACCGTAGCAATCAGACAAATTCAAAATAAGAATTACATTATATTATAATAATAATAATAATAATGATGATGAGAATAATAATTTATTTAAAATGCTATAGTCCTTGGGAGAACAGGATGAACTATTTCACGTACATATGTAATTCCAGTTTATGTCCAGCAGGGGCACTGCTATTACAGAGTGGAGGAGGGTCTTAAACAATATTTCTTCCATAGTTTATACACGCAAAGATTTCTAAGAGACATGAAAACCTGTTTGATAGAGACATGTTCAAATAAATCATAAACGAGAATGAAACTCACTTGTTTAGTCTTTGACTTGGTTATGGTATCTGACAATGGCTTTTTCTTTTCCTTCACAGCCGTTTTGGAGAAAAGTTCAACAAACTCGATGAAATCCAGAGATGGTTCCTCAACCTTCTCCCACACTAAAAGTCCAGTAGGTTCCCTTAGGTCACACAGGAAAAGAATAAGATTGACAATAAGAATTTACAGTGTGAAATGTGCATCAGGGAAGGGAGAAGTCAGTGTACCGCTAGACTGAAACTGCAACAGCTTTGAAGTAAATCCATTTTGGAAAAAGCAAAACTCTACTCCGTCACAACCACCGCATCATGCCACCAACGCTGGCATGTGTCAGGCAAGACAGCTTTATAATTTGCGGCAAAGCCTGGACAGGTTGGGTCAGGTCATCTTTTACAATGTTGGACTGCTGTTCTGCATGGCACCCAGATGACTTCAGCTGTGATTGATTTCTGTTAAAACCTACGGCTTGGCCTGAAATTCCAATTCACAACATATTTTTCATTCTATTTGTATAGTCATGGAGACAGTTTCTTAGCTGAAAATGTCAAATTTTCCCCTATTTGGGGGGGCGGGGGATGAATACCATTCCAGAACACACTGACACACAGCTATGACAAGATTAAAACCAGTAAAACCAGCATATTACTTTCTCTCATGCAGCTGTATCCTGGTCCAGTACAGCGGTTTCATAGGTCGTGGAGGTTCAACGACTTCTTTCCGAGGCCTCTTCTCCTGTGCCATGCCTAGGGCATAAAGACCGAGCGGTAGAGGAGGAGGAAGAGATCCTAATCCAAACTGTGGAGGAGGGGCACCTATGGCTGGCGGGGGCGGTGGATGAACACCATCAGGCAGTGGGGGCGGTGGGGGACATGGCCCAGTTCCCAGTGAAGGCAGGGGGGGAGGGGGCGGTATGGGGCACCCAGGTAAGGGAGGTGGCGGCGGAGGTACTGCTGATCCTGAGAGAGATGATACTGGTAGGCCGGGAAGAGGAGGTGGAGGGGGAGGCACAGGTAGACCTGGAAGGGGAGGTGGAGGGGGAGGCACAGGTAGGCCGGGAAGGGGAGGCGGAGGGGGTGGCACAGGTAGGCCGGGAAGGGGAGGCGGAGGAGGTGGCACAGGTAGGCCGGGAAGGGGAGGCGGAGGAGGTGGCACAGGTAGGCCGGGAAGGGGAGGCGGAGGAGGTGGCACTGGTAGTCCGGGAAGGGGAGGCGGAGGAGGTGGCACTGGTAGTCCGGGAAGGGGAGGCGGAGGAGGNGGAAGGGGAGGCGGAGGAGGTGGCACTGGTAGTCCGGGAAGGGGAGGCGGAGGAGGTGGCACTGGTAGTCCGGGAAGGGGAGGCGGAGGAGGTGGTACTGGTAGTCCGGGAAGGGGAGGCGGAGGAGGTGGTACTGGTAGTCCGGGAAGGGGAGGTGGTACAGGTAGTCCGGGAAGGGGTACTGGCAAAGACTGAATCCCCATCTGTTGCTGGCATTTACAAACAAAACCCTGATCTGCTTTGGGGGGTAGGGGGGTGAATGGCTCAGATAGATGCTCTGGCTCAAGGCTGGGGGAGGGTGGGGAGTGCTGGGAAAACTCCCCCACTTTCACATCAAGCCTCGAAGATTTAGAAGGTGACGTTCGCTCCGGCAAAGGCACTTTGAATCTAAAGCTCTCGTCCACAGGTGACGTCTGCACAGACTTGGCCTCCAGGCAGCTCAGGGCCATGCCCTCAGTCTGCAGGTCCACATCGCAGAAGCCTTTCATTTCCAAATCTTCACTTCCACATTCCTGGTCCTTTGTGCTCACATCCTTCTCCAGTGAGGGGTACTGTTTCTCTAACTCTGCAATTTTAGTCCTCAGATCCTCAATGGTCTGTTCTAACTGCTGAATTACATTAACATGCTCCTCCTTAAGCTTTACGGTCTTCAGGACAGATTCCTCCTGTGGATGGAACAAAACAGGATTGTAATCCCACTTCTGAGCAGTTTTAGTTTCAGCTTTTTAAGAAGACATAGTCTGGATTAATGATGATACAGAATTAGTGAAGGTTTCAAACAACAAAGTAAAATGTAAAGCTACATGCAATATCATTTATGGGGAAAAAATTAACCAGAATGAACTAGCCTGAAGATCACAGGCAGTTTCAGGGCACCAGGCAATAGCTGCACTGACATGCTTTGCATGAACGAAGAAGTGCCTTAAAACTGAAAGTGATCATTTAAACCCTTCCATAAACATATCCACTTATTAAGGAAAAAGTTAAACTACTAAATATTCTAATATACCTGTGCAGCTAATCATCAGACCTCTACATTTAAAATGTATTTCAAAGATTAAGATAAAATGGAGGAAATAAATGCAATACTTTCATAGCACAGCATGATATGCAGTGAGTAGGAAAACCTGACACAAGCTGGGAAGATGCTGCCCTCTAGTGGGGGGAAAAAGGCTTTCACTGGCATTTTATACAAAGCATTTCAGACAGTGTTATAAATCGACACTGCAGAACAGCAATGTTCAGTTCACCCAGCAAAGACAGCAGAAAAAAAATAACATGAAATACACCCTATAAGAAGAAAATAATCAAAGTATAGATTGCACTGGTAAACCTTCATTAACTCTCTAAGGAGGAAAAACAATACAGGTGTGCATGTACTGAACAAGCCATTGAGGTATAGGCTACCTGTAGTTCTCGGATCTCCTCTCTCTGCTGCTTCTTCAGCCCTATGATGATGGCTTGATGGTCTGAGAGGACGAGATGACAATGACATACTAAAGAGTTACCTGGGATATAGTCTTAGGGACTACAATTTATTTTATTCATTAGACATATACAGTACATGACAACAGGTGCAAAGGTAACAAATGCTTGCTGTTGAAACGTAAATTGTACCACGCTGGTGTTGGTGCTACACAATAACATACAAAAAGTACTCCATATAATTACAGTAAATAGAAAGTGCAAGTTTGACGTTTTGTAGGGGGTATTGATAACACGGTTCTCTTGGCAAAAAAACTGAGAAAAATGAATGGGATTTCAGAAAATCAGGGAAAATAAAATTCGTGGTTAAAACGAGATGTAAAACACTTTAAAGTTTTGTCTGATCAGTTAAATCCTTACTAGTGGAACTTCAACTAATTTTAATGTTTCGCATAGATGAAATGAGTATGTTGCTAACAATTTACTAAAGGAATAATAGATTCACAATGCAACCAGCAGTTGCTGATCTGAGACCGGATTTTTGCCAGACCTGTGTTCTTCTGAAGGAAGCCTCCTAAAAGAACTTCTTGTAACCTTAGTTATTGTATACAACTAAGAAGGAGCGTATATAAAATTTCTTCCATAATGACATACAAAAAGTACTCCATGACAGTATTGTGCAAATACACAGTGTAAATACATTTCCGCATTTCAAAATGTTTCTCAGTTATGTAATTTACTGAACCGGACTTCAGAATGAAATATAGATAAAAGTTACACTAATTTACAAATGATTCATTTAAAATGTCAAATGCTATTAGAAGTAATATGCTGACTTATCAGACCCGTGCTGCCCATCTGCCATAACTCGCCAAAACGCGATGCCCCCCATGCTTGCTCTAACTGAATCTGCCAACTGCCCTTCACAGCAGCTGCAGCCCTCTATGTGATTTCACATTGCTCTGAAATTTTCCAATCATCTCTAAAGAATGACACTACAACACAGATTGGAACTGCCATATAGGACTGCTCACTAATAATTTGCTAACTATTAATTTGCAGTGGTGGCTAATGAACTGACAATGACTGACCATGGGGAGGTGTCACAGGTTGCCTGACAAAATTGGTCTCAGATCAGTGATTTTTATCCAAGCCTTGTGCGCGTGAAGTCAGATAAGCGATTGTTGTAGTTCATTTTCAAGTCGTTCCTGTTAGCAAAATGTTAGCAATATTAATTTCAGGGACACAAAACATCAGAATTTGACATCAGAATCTTCCTCATAAGACTTTTGCTAAGAGAACTGCATGTTTGAAAATGCTAACAAACAGCCTTCAAGATGACAGCACTTGCACACTCTATAGCCTCTGATGCTTGACTATCCAACTTTGTTTGGCAGGTTTGGGGGCAATCCTTCACAAAGGAGAATTTAGAACATATATAGGAAACAAAGCACACCAGAAAACAACTTTCAATCCAAGATTAACATATGGACCAAAACCAACTCATTAAACACTGCCATCAAGCAGGGAGTCAGGAACAGGAACAGGCCGGGAACAGGCCATGGACCATCTTTCAGACGTTTCGTGGCTTCCAAAATCAGTCAAACAGCTTGTTTGTTACAAAGGAAAGTGATGAGAAAGTTCAGGAGGAAGCAAGTGATTGGAATCTAAATAAGTTTCAGTGATTCAAGCCATGTTGCTAGGCAACATACTACCCAAGCTGGATGGGACAAAGAGTAGCCCTTCCCACCCAATTGGCAACAGAGGCTATAGACAAGGTGGGGGGCGGAGAGAGAGAACTTCAGACTTGCTATTAAAATTCAAAAACATTTTTACTTAATACAAGAACTGAACATTCTAATGGGATGTCAAACAAAGATATCCAGATTAGTCTTACCTTCGTCATCCTCTAGTGTTATTGCATGGAGTAAAAAAAAGGAACAATCCATTTTAAATATAACCCCTCCCAAACTGAGTTCACAAGATTAAAGAAAATACCCTAAAAACTTAACAGCAAAGAAATCACGATAGCAGGTCCAGGCAGCAAAACCAACCTGTAAAACTGCATTAACCTCGAATTACAAGTCTATTTTAACTTAGTTTTGTCTTTTCCCCAGAACACACAAATCTACAAGCCCACTAAGGCAAAAGCGACAGGCTTTCACCCGACCACTAAGAGCCATTTAAAAAACAAACAAACTAACTAATAAAGCAGAAACTAATAAACATTCACACAGCATCAGCTTGTCTGCTCAGGTAGGAGCCTCTGGGCTGGTGGATCAACAGCCTTACCTGCCTCTGTGTACTTCAGCCCAGGTCGCTCCTCCCCTCCCGGTTTGGGTGGGGGCCAGAGGGCCTGGATACGGCCTGGGACGCGCCCATCAAAGTGCTCCGCAGAGTGTAGGGGCTGACTGACTGCCGCCCAGGTATACAACTGGTCTTGCTGTGGTGAGACAGGGTATGCTTGTGAGAAGGGGTGGGGTGGTGCTGAGTGATACAGACAATATCTTGACTTACCATCATATTAAATTTAAACAAAAAGTTTTACAAACTGTAGATAACTTTTACAAACTGTAGATAAACACTGCTTGATCACATATCAGCCAGCCATAGGTGCCCTCCTCCACAGTTTGGATTGCACATATCAGCCTATCAGATCACAGAAATGAACACAGTTCCAACATTCATATGCACAACAAACTCACTGCAAGGCTGGCTGAGTTAAAGGAGCTACCTGCTACTGTTTTGGTAATATCATAGAAGCGGCGAGCAACCCCACAGAGCAAACTTCAACAGTGGGACCATTTTTTGGTTTTCAAAAAAAGGGGAGACGGGGGGGCAGGACGCAAAGAGATACTGTAGATAAACGAAGTAAACAGAAGTCAGTGGTGTGGTGGTACTTTGGCAATTTAACACACAACAAACTAAATTCTTCCAAAAGCTTGTGTCAACTGTAGCTGGAAGGACTACGACCATTTCAGCACTTGAAGCATTGCCATGCAATTGAAGATACAGAAAGCAGGCGCTTATAGTCACAGAGACCAGCAAACAGGGTTTCCACTTTCAATCTGAAGAAATACAGGACAAATCGTTCTGTACTGGTTTAAAATGGGACAGGTTGCAACTTTACTAATGCCAAACCCTTCCCTGGAAAAAACAGTGAGGCAGTCAGAGAAAACAAACTAGCATCAAACCACACCATTTGCATTTTCTAGTGTTATGCCCCACAAAAAAAACCTAGTTATTTATTTATTAAAACTTAGATTTGTCATCGTTTTTCATTAATCTCAATCTGTTTATGAGGAATCCTAAGGGAATTTTAAGCAAAAGTGGATCCTTAAAGAAATGAAATTATGACTTGAATTATATCATGATAATGATCAATACTGACTGATTGGCCAATCTTATCTGCAAAGGGCCGGTGTGTGTGCAGGTTTTCGCTGCAATTCCCTAATTAGATTACTAATTAGAGGATTGATCACACCTGGGTTTGAACAGCTGAACTACAGGTTATCCCAAAAACCTGCACACACACCGGCCCTTTGCAGATAAGATTAGCCACCCCTGCTGTACATGGACTCATCACAGACCACAATAATGAACAATAGAAAAAACATTCAAACAATCACCGATAATCATTACTGAGCAACTCTATAATCAAAGTAACTTCAAGGTCAACATGTCTGACAGACATAGTTTCCTAAGACCTGTATGCTGACATTTTTAAGGTTTGTAGTAACTTGTGCAGGTACAACATGAGGCCCAGACTGAATGACAATAGCTAGCATTAGTCACTGCATCTCAGAAGGAGCTGACCTCAAGCAAGCGGCATTTTCTCCGAACAGCCTGCACAAGCGTTAGCCATGCCATATCCAGATGCCTCTCTCTCTGGTCATTCCTTCCTTGTCGACCAACCAGCAACAGGACCCTAAGGACCTCCAGCACATGGGCCAGATGGGAAGAGTCTCTATCAGTGTCCCCCAAGGTCCTGGGTACTCCCTTTCGACGCTCCATGGCTTTCAATGTTTAAGTGGTCCTGACTCCTATTAGCTAGTAAAATTGCTGATTACAATCAGATCTACATTGTGGCAAATACGATGGCACTGGTTCCTCGTGCTGCTCTTAGAGTCAACAACGCTTTCTCCTTAAAGAGAATGAAGGCAAAATACAAGTCTTTTCTAATCCAAAAGGTGCAGTTCTTTTTCAATCCAGAAGGTGGCTACAGCTTTCTGAAATGCTTTCTGCATCCATCCTTGCTGTTGAGAAGTCTGCAGTAGGCAAGGTATGCTAATATATCCTTTATCTTTACAGATGTCCCAGTGTTCATAAAGGATGCCTTTCCCCCCTACTCTTCCACTCTCTTCTGCTGACAGAACTTTTTGCCTTGTAATTCTGTACTGCTTTCACATTCTTCAAAGGTTAATTTCTGCGTTTGCCGCGCGCATGTAGAAAAACAGCCGAATAACATAAAAGCATCTCATGGCCTCTGCCAATTTCTTGCAAGCTCGGTTCTGCATCCCTTTCAGTGGCATGGAGTCCAAGGCTCCTTCTTTTCCCAAGTCCCAGAGGCACACTGCTGCCTAAGCGGCTTCCAAAAGATGGCCTGCCTGCAGTCAGATCAGGTTCCCCAATGACAAAGCTGCTCACTTAGGTGTCTCTGGGCGGGTGGGACAAGAGAGGGCAGGCTGTTATTGACAAATCAGCCCCAGGGAGATGCCTGCCATCATTTACCAGCAACTACCGCTGGCCTCTGGGTCCAAGATCTCATACTGGTGGGGAGGAGAATAATTCATAGGATTACATGCTGGTAAATCATGCCTCCCTTGCAATGTCTAACCAACCAACTAGCAGCTGCTGACACGGGTACCTTCCGCATACTAGTCACTTATAATAGTCCCCTGATGAGCTAGCATAATATGAAGACAGGTCTGAAAAATACCAGAGCATCTCCCTCATCAATACATTGCCATTTCAGTTGTTCTGCAACATATATGCCCTTCACATCTCTACATTTTTAAACCAAAACAGTGCCAAAGCCTATTGAGGAGCTATACAAATAAATATCTAACAATACTCACCCTAAATCATGCAGCATTGTGGATTCTAATAAAGGAAAACAATGACATAAAACCTAAAACAAGGTTAATATGCTCGGTGACCCCAGCAGACCCCATATGCTAATGGAATTTCCATAACTAGCTCCAGCGAATTATTGAAGAAAACACTAACTACATGGTTACAGCACTAAATAAGCATCTCTAAAAACAAAGCATTTTGAATGAACTGAAAGAAAGAAAAAAACCAACGTAAACCTGTCATTTCCACTCTACTAAATGGCTGAATTAGTCAAGGGGGATACACAAGCTCACACAGACATATTTAATCTGTGCTGTGCATACATGAATATTAAAGAGGAAGTCAAATCATTTTGACAAGTGACTAGCGCAATTTAATGTTACAAATCAAACTGAAGTCTGACTATATTGCAAGCTGCACCACATCATAACAGACACCCCTCCAATCCCTAGGTGGAGCTGCCTAGAAAGAGCATAAAAACAGGAGACTGGCTTGTTGCCCTAAAAAGCTCCACAGTGTGGGCTTGCTTATGCAGCATGTATGTGCACGGCACCATGTATATTTCACCCAGAGCAGAGAAAGGGAGCACAGAATCATGAATCATCAAAGCAGTCATGTGATGCTCTGGTGAGGAAACCTAATGAAAACAATAAATACTGTGACAGTAGTGGGATGCAGCCATTCATCAATAAAGAAACAGCATTTGAACCAAGACTTCCTGTTAACCGCAACCCGAATGAAGAATGGCTTTGCACATACTGCGATTAAGGCACTAGTGCCAATTAAGATAAATTCGTACAAAAAAAGGACGGTATACAAGTACTTTTTGGGGTGATCTAAAATATTAACAGCATAAGAACATTTCACTTGTTTTTCCATTTAGATTTTAGTTCTATTGAAGAAAAGAGAATAAATGCATCACTGGTACATAAACAGCCTGAATTGCAGTTCAATGAAATATCAAGCCAGAATGCATCTACAAAAAGGGTGTTTCTCAATACCAAGAACACAAAGATTGCACTTCTGGTGTTGGCAAGAATGATGCAAGGAATCATGGGATTGTTCTCATTTGACAAGGATGCAACCAATGCATCCTTGATATTTGGGGAGGGGCAACAACCAGGGATTTTTACCGTCGTCTGTACTTCTGTTCTTAATATTGAAACTGGTCTTCAGCAACCGAAGATGATATAAAATGGGTATGCGAGAACACAAGTACAGTGAAGTACGCATATTGAGAAACACCCAATGTTACACTCTTGTGCTGCATGCTTGCACTGACAAGAATAAAACCATTACTGCCAGTCTCACAGAACAATGGCCAACCATAATTTTGCACCTCCAGTTTCCTCCATGAGAAGCCAAAAGTTAGCATCAATACAGACCTTTAAAATAGGTACATATTCTAAGATGACACATCTAAATCACCCTCATCCCGAGTCTACCCATAAAAATCCCAAAATAGAACATTCAGCACCAGGTCCCTGGTGAGTCAGACATATGCAACGGCTGGGCTGCAAGCGACAGGTGAGAAGTGAGGCAGTCTCTTGAGTAGTGTGAATATATATAAATACAGGAATGAACAGCAAAAACTAAAACCAGGACACAAGATTACATTGTTCAAAAGAACTGCGACCAGAACATTTCTGGCAGCTGTGCCACAAGGTGACATTCTTAAAATTCCTGCTCTACTTTTGAGAAAAGTAAATGTTAAAGTCTTTTACGTAACGTTGCATAAACACATATACCACGCAGTTACATACAAATAAAATAATGCAAGCAAGAGTGGAGGGGCTCACATTGAACTTAGGTGCAATCTGCGAGGCACTTTCGCCATACTGCTCGCGAAAGCATTCACTGAAGGGCAACAAAAGGCCCATTGCCAGTATGCGTGAGCACAGCTTCTCTGCCTCTTCAGGCTGTGCGTCCTCCTGCTGCTGGAAGAACTTCTCCAGCAGGGTGCGCCCTACAGCAGAGAGAAAAAAACCTGAATTAATTTCCACAAGACATTTGGTACATTAGGGCTGGAAGATGACACAAAAAATTAATAATATGCAACACACACACATGCACCTGGTGCTTACATTTGTTTAGCAGAAAGAAAAATGTGTAACCATGAAAAAATTATTCATATAAAACTCGCTAAACAGCTGCAGTGTAAGCTTACAGGCCGGGCGGGGATTTGCTGGTTATCGCTTTTTATCCTCAGTGAAAAATGCCCGATTGAAGGGCCTGATTTAATTATGATTTTAAAGCATTCAAATATATGGCAGAAGCTGAAAGCCAAATAAAAAAAAAAACTTTACCACCTTGATTTGTGTGCAGCCTAAGCCTACTTGCCCGACAAAGGTGATCAGTGCCAGTTAAGCACAGTCAGAAACTGAGTTACTTGTCTGATATCGCAATTACCGATAATATTGTTGTATTGGCCAGCCCTACTACACATACTGTATACAATACATGTCCACAACACCACCAGTATTTCTGAATTGAATTAGCTGAATTCCCCATCTGACACAGCCACCAAGTTTTGCAGCCACCAAAACCAAGTTGACTACATAAAAATCAAGTTTGTGCCATTAAAACATCACAAAAGACAAGTTGCGTTCCTTATTTATGTTTCCTCAAAGTTTTCATGCAAAAACAGACTAAGCAGCACAGCAGTTCAAGACCTGGTTTAAATCTATACAATAGGCATATAAAATGGTAGAAACTCAAGGGTTGGGTACTAAAATTCAATACTTTTATGGCACCAACCACACTGCTTAGATATTATTGATAATCAAAAAATGCCTTCTCAAAAATTTCAATATCTAAGGAGTGAAATCTCCTGTGTCAGTGAGCCAAGAAGCACGCAGCGTGCTTGTACCAAGACCGAATAATGCTGGTGACTGGTAATGTTGCGAAAACATGTCATAGACATGGTTCAAGTGGGGTTCAAGTGTGTGCATGCGTAAGGACCCACTCTCAGAGACATGGTTGACAGGTCAGAGTGTGTACAAAACTGAGAATCGCTAAGAGAAGAATTTGGCAAACCACGACTGACTTTTAGCTTAAAACATGCAAATATCAATTACTCGAAAGCATTTTATGACCAGTTAACCCTTAATGGGCTAATAGGTTACTCAGCCAGTCAGGTGAAACCAAACCACATCCTGAACTGTACACAGTGGTTCTATTTCTTAAAGGAACAGCAGCTCAGTAAGATGAACCTCATTATTCTTCAATTAACTTCTTTAGTACCAATCAGGATAAAAATCAGATTATATTAGCCTACATTTCAATATAGATTAATAAATCAATATCTGTTTTTGCAAATGTACAAGCAAACAGAGACCTGTTTTTAAAGTATATACCATTTGATTATATTTATGCTACTGTTTTTCCATGATTTATGTTTTCTGTCTGGCGGTAAGTGAAATACTGACAGTAAAAAAAAAAACCATACTGGGCACTCTTTTAAATAGGATAATGTATAAGCATAGCGAAACAAACACTTAAAAACAAAATATAAATTGGTGTAAGCAGGCTTTTTCTGTAGAAATTTCTCAACTGCAATAAAACATAACTTATAATTACATAATCCACTGTGCATTTGTGCCATCTGTCTAGGGAAAGTGTAGGACCTGAATTTATTATCAGTATTAATGCATTCATTCATTAGAATTGATGTTTCTGCTCAACTCCTCAGTGTGCTGGTTTGTGCTACTGATTTTTAATTTTTTTTACCCTGATAACACTAATACTACCACTTAAAGTAAGCATACAGTCCAGTACAAAACCAGAATGGCAGGGACTGTACATAGGGCTACTAAAAAGTGTATCTAGACTGCCAAATTTGGAAAGCTGGTAGTCCAGTGGACTACCATATGCATTCACAATTTGTACATCCCTACTTTTTATATTAGAAAACTGCTTAGAGTGTGCAAAATGCCAAGGTCCTGAAAACTCAAACTACAGATCTGTACCATAATTTGTAATGTAATTCTTTTGTTATTGAAATTAATTTAATAAAATTGGTATCGAAAGAAGTATTGTTCAGGAACTTGCATCACAAGCAAGTTATCTGTAGTGGTACTGAAAATATTTGAATGATACAAAGCCCTGAGTAACTAGCGAAGTAGGTCTGAGCAGCTCTGAACATTTAATTAAAAAGGGTCTAGAAGCAAATAAACAAGTGTGCGTGTTTTAAAATGCTGCTAAAATATAAAACATACCAATTTTAAAGACAAATAATCCACACAAATCAGTCAGTCTAAGAAAATACCAACAAACAAAATGCATAGACAGAAATCTTCCCTCCTAGAAGCTTGGATGCATTTTGATGCATGTAGGAGGACAGCTGCAGTAGCATCAATACGCACATATACAGCGTTAACCCCATATTTGCACTCAAGTCTGAGTCAGATGCTGCAGTGTTAGCATCTATGCCAATGCTGCAAGATAGATTTCTAAAATTAGGTGGTAATGAGATAAATTGATGGTCTAGCTAAATAATTTGCACGTCAAATCCCTTATCCTCTGGAACCCATCTGTATATAATATGACAGGTCACCAGAGTGCAAACACATATATAAAGTGCAGATAGTCTAAATATCATTTGCAGTATATGGGTTATTAGTTTTAAAGTCATAAAAGACTTTATAGGGGATGCAAATTCATAAGAAGAGAATAAGGATCCCTTTGATGTGGATAATTCAGAAACAGCATATGACTGCTTGCTTAAGAGGTTGCAGTGGGAACCCAAGTTTAAAGTACCAGTACATTATGATCTCTCTTCACTAACTGATATACAAGAGAGCAAGGGAGAACTGACCCACACACTACACAGCCACAGAGGGAGGCGAAATTTAAAAGGAAACATAATGAAAGGTCTCCCATGTATTGTTGTTCTGCACACTCTTTTCAAAGGGAAACAAATTACTTACTGTGGAGCCCCACTTGCAAATTTCATCTGCTTTCATGAACTCAACCCAAGAAAACAATAGGCCTTATTTACTCAAGGCTAGTAGAGAGAATAAAAGAGACCATTATTTAATGCACACCCATACAACTTCAGCCTTAAAGCTAACTCAAAAATGCTTTTTTTAAATAGCTCTGAAAGCATAAATCAAATATCTTGAAATTGACTAAAACTTCCAAATAAACATTCAGATGTTATTCTATCAATAACAAAAAAGACACACATCTGTATTCATACATTCTAAACAAGTTCCTTAAAAAAAAAAAAAAAAAAAAAAACAACTGCTCAACAAAGACAGAAAAGATATTTATATGATTTCAGTCAATGGTAGCTCATTCTCAGCTACATAAAAGATATTGCATGCACTGGCTAGGGACAGCAGGAAGTGTAAGTTAAGAAACCAGACCAGTTGATCATGCATTCATAATCATCTCTCCAGAAAGTACATTTCCTAACATGGTGGTCTTATTAACCTAAATTGGTCCAGTAAACCTCCAATACCTGTGAATGTGTTACCAAAACTGGCAATTGGAAGCTTCAGTTTTCTTAAAGATAATTCAATGATGGATGATTCATAAAAACAACAGTCCAGTTTTAACCATGGTCATACTCAAAACAAAATGGAAAATAGCTGACTATTTTCCACATACAGCAGAGGATTTTAAATATTACATAAATATATGGTTGCTGATTGCATTCAGATTAGTGAAGCTAAAACCCTGGGTTCCTTTAGATCAGAGCTAGATAAGATTTTAACAACTCTGAGCTATTACTTGAATTCTCCTCAAACGAGCTTGATGGGCCGAATGGCCTCCTCTCGTTTGTAAATTTCTGATGTTCTTATGGTCTTAAGGCAAGACTGTCCAAATGAGGAAATGATATATGGACACATTTAAAAACAACCCAAAAATTCTCAAGACTACTATTATTAGCAAGTGGCAGTCTGACCGCAGCACTGTACATAAACACAGTGACGTGCAGTCTCCATAACAAAACTGGGTTGCCAACTTTCTCAACCCCAAATGAGGGACACTTTCTTGCAGGTGCGCAGGCAGAGCAGCTGACCAACAATAATGGAAATTGCAAAGTTTCATACTATAAATCTACACATTTCACAGTATAAAAGGACAAGCCACTAGTGGCCAGTGCACACAGGATCACCAACAACCGCGTCTCATAGCAACGTTTTGCCATGCTTACAGTAGTCTATTATTGGCCGATGAGGCTGTGATTGGAATACGGGACTGGAACTGCCCCTGAAGGGACAAATCAAAATCACCCATATTTCGGGATGTCCCGGACAATTCGGGATGGTTGGCAACCCTAGGCCCATCTGATTTCCCGCCACCATCGATTCCCTTCTGGCCCCACTCAGAATCAATGGCATATCTAACCTTCCTCTACCTCAAAACTAAAGCATACATCAGCATGTATTTTTTTAAACCAATGAGCAAATTATAAACTCAATCACAAACTGTCTAACTGGAAGTACCCCACCCAACAAGATCGCTGATGTCTGAAATTCACACACACAGGTTTGTCTGGTCATGCTGTGGGTGACTGACATCTCAGATTGATACTGAAGATCGACACATTCAACAGTGGTTGCAAATCAATGCAGACCCCACCCCCAGAAAGTCAGATAAGAGACTGATCTGAGAACTGTACAGAAAATGCATGCCAATGGTCTTCCTTCAGGAAGGGGGCTGAGGGATATTCCAGAGAGCCTGCAGCAGCAGCACTGCAATGCTGCAGAAGAGCTGCACAGGGTAAAAACAAACACGGTGCCATGTGCAGTAAACCGGTGAAGCTGGGGAGAAATTCAAGCTGAACAACTGAGGCACCTGGTCGCAGCACTAAATCAGGCTTTTACAAATCAAATACTGGAAAACATGGAAATGCAAATGACAGTCCAAACATACATAGAAAAGAAAAAGAAAGTATCTGCTATATTTTATTTATATAACTGTTACACACACATCAGAGCTGATTTCTACGCTAAAGTTGTGTTGTTATGTGGTGTACTTGTTTTATGCCTGAAGTGTTTGGACATACTTAAGAGAGGTTTCATATATTCATATATAAAAAAAAAAACTGTCCCAATGAAAGCATATTTCAATCTAATGAATGAATTTTCACATGTAAATAATAAAATGCCCTAATTGTCTGGATACTTTTCAGCAAGTGTGAGGGGAAATCAGCTGTGTTAAGAAAAATGATGAAGGGAAATCAACACCAAAATGTCACACTTCTGGACAAACTTTCTATTTCTACCACAGAACAAACAGCCATTGTTTGGTCTGCAGCATGCATTTATGCACACTGCATAAAAGACTCAAACTAGTGCACGGCAAATCAGACACAAAAATGACAGCCCCCACCCCCTTGCCCGCCCCAAAGTCAGTAAGATGTGCAGTCAGTTCTCCATTCTTTCACCAACATAGGAAACAAACAGCTCAGTTCACCCACAAATGGCATTTCTAATAAAAAATATTAAAGTACACCACAAGGCCAGAAGCACCATAAATTGTACAGACATGTCACCTGATGAAAGGTAAACAAGAGCTAACGCATGTTACTCACCTGAGAAGACATCCTGGAAGCTACATGTGGAGGACTGCACACAGGATGACCTCCGTGTTGCACACAGGGGCTGACTTCCACTTCTCAGCCTCTCCTCAGAGCCCCCATACTCTAGGAAGTCGGTGGATCCAGCTTTACCGACCCGGATTTTACTCAGTTCCTCCGTCCAGTCTGCTGATCGGCTCAGTAGGCCTGTTATACTGTGAGAGCGCTGCCTCTTTAACCGCCGCCTCTCAGTCCGGCAGCCGAGCTCATGCCCCCGTCGATGGAAAAGGGGGCTCTGGGATGGCGAGTGAGCCGGGGAGTGGTTCGGGGAGCTGAGCTGCCGGGTGGTGGTCTTGATGTAGGAAGGATGAATAGGGGGGTAGGGCTTGACCGAGGGGGTAGTCACAGTTGACTTAAGGAGACGAGTTGCCAGAGGGCTCTCAGGGGGCCATGGGGAGGACAGGCTGCTTTTCCGTCGATGTGTAGGTGGGGGTGCCACGGACCCTGCTTTTACATCCACTGGCTCATCAGGCATCAGCAACTCCTCAGCTACCAGACTCCCATTCATGAAGCTCACCCCATCCTCCAGATTCCCAGTAACATCACTAATGCCTCCATTTAAATGGGGAGCTAGATCCAATCCGTCCTCCACTGGCTCTTCTGCACTTTCAAAAGAGCCAGTGAGGTCAGGGAAGCTGGTGGCGCTGGTCGTCTTGGTAACAGGGCTCCCCACTTTCCCTTGCTCCATGGTTGCAGGGGGCTGAGCTTCATCGCTCAATAGCCCTGGCCCCTTTGTCCCCACCGCAGCACAAAGAGCTTCCCCATATTCGGGGATCACCCCATTCAGCTTCAACCCGGCTCCGGCCACATTTTTCTCCTCAGCCGTTTTATCCAGCGAAAAAATGGGCCTGCCAAGCAGGCCATTCTCCTGGTCACCGGCAGCCACGAGGGCAGCGGGAGGCTCCGGGACAGATGGGGAAGCTGCTTCATCGTTAGCTGCTTGTTTACACTCCACTTTCCAGCTCAGATCCTCGGCAGTTGAAATGATGACCCCCTGCTGCAGCCTAATCGCCTGCTGGATATCAGCGAGCAAATCCTCTTGCTCCGCCGCCGAATGGAAGCTGTAGATGTCTGTGTCGGAGCCCGAACTGGCTCTTTGTCCATTCTGGATCTCTACGGTGTTCTGCTGACATGCTGCGGTGAGGTTTAAGCGGTCAGCCTCAGTATCCGAGTGCCCCAACTCGTCGGCCGAAAGGCTGACATCGGGAGTTTTGGTCTGAACCGATACGGCGCTGTCCAGCTCATCCTGCTGCAGGGCCTGGGAGCTCAAAACATCCTCTCTGGAACCTCCCGTGGATCCTTTTGCCTTAGACAGGTTCTTGCGAATCCGAATATTGGAAAATACAGAGGTTTTGGACTCTGACTTGCCTTTCTTTTTGCCAGGGTCCGCCCCCTTGCCGTGCTTGCCCTGCGATTTCTTGCCATGGTATCCTTTCTTTGTGTACTCCGCCTCATTGAGCCCCACAGCATCGTCAACCCCATCAAAGGCTTCCCCCGATGCTTTCTTAAGCTTCCCGTCCTGATTCCCCATGATGTTCAGCGGGCACGCCTCCGCAGTCAGGCCATGCTCACGAGCCGCTCTGGATGCGTCTGGCGGCCTGGGCAGGCTCTGTGATGAGGCGGCTGCTGCTGCTGCTGACGACAACAACGACGCGGAAGCAAATGCCTGCTCTCGCTCTCCCCCCTCTGCTGGCTCTGCTACACTGCATAATGAACTGCTGGCGGAGAGTCCCACTGGGGCATGCTCAGTGCAGCACTCCTGCACTCTGCAGTCTGAATCGTCCCATTGCAGCAATGGTGGCTGCTGCTGCTCCCCCCGCCCGCTCAGGGTCAATATGCTGATCTGTCTCCCCTCTGTGAAAGGGGTCCTGACAAAGATTTCCCTTAGTGCTGGGACCTGAGACTCCACAGTCTGGATGACTTGCATGGCGAACTGCTGAGGTTGAGTTTTATCCCTGCTAAAAATAAAACGTTAGAGATATTTCTGAAAACAAATCCATTTACAAAACAGATGCACGATTACTCTCATGCCGCAGCAGTTTAAATCTCTGGATTTATAAATACAAACAAATACCACCTGAGCTTGAGTAGATTACTCATCACATAATTAATACTTAAATCCCCAAATTAGGTATCCCCAATAAAGTATTATAGCATCTAGCTAACAGAACAGCAACAATCCAGTACCTCCTGCAGTCATTTTGTAAGTAATCTGCAAGGCATACTTTTAATTGCATCCCGGGGGGGGGGGGGGGGGGGGGGAGAGAAAGAGATAGGGTTACATACAGAGGGTACATCCTCTTTTGCCACATGCTGCTAAGCTACCATGTCTTCCCTGTGGATTATAAATGCCATGTCTATTTGCCTACATTTTAATGATGCAGACAGAATGATTTTATACATTGTGCTCAACCAAAACAAAACACCTCAGCACACAAATACTACTACAGGATCTGAAATGATTTATAAGATTTTTCAAAATAAAAATTGAGAAAATACCCTATTGAGATAATTCCACTAATCTGAGTTTTTATTCAGAAGCAACTACTGTAAATGATTCATTAAGGCAGACGCCTAGGGAAAATGCACCTAGAAGAGGGAAAACTGCACAAACTACTGAGACTAAATTAAAGGGGATAACATGGTGATGTCATCTACACGGTCCATTTTACAGTACTTCATCGCCATCGATATGCATTACATTTAAAACACTCAATATCCCTCCACCCACCTTCAAGCTACCAACATGGTCACATGACAACTAAAATTAAACGAGAAGGCCAAGGAAGGAAAGCCGTGCATATGCCACGTATAATCCAGCCGCCTTTACCCAGCTTTCGCCATATTAAGAGAAGCTTTGCATTAAAATTAACTGACAGCGATTTCATTTATTGAACACGCAGACAACGCATTTAAAAGTAGGTAGATTTATTTACGCGTAACACATGAGAACGAGTCTCGGACCATTTTCGATGAAAATGCCGGCATTTACTCTGGCGGTATCTGAAGCGAGGTTTAAAACCATTTGCATAATAAATCCATACGAAGCATGCAAGTTCTTCATAGAAAATTAAACCACTCACTCAAGCTGTCAGGTCGACCGCGTCCATTATATCTTAAAATTAAGATACAAAACAGCCATTAAAATACATTTGGCCAAAATACTTTATACGACATTAATTTAACTCAATTTCCGTATACATCAGTAGTTCTTAACCATATGCTTTTGTACCTTCAGCCACTTAACATATCTGCCCCATTACAATCAAATTAAAGTAATATTTAAGACCATCAACCGAGTCAGCTGTACAGGAGATGAAATATATGATTTTTATAGTTTGTCCTGTCACATCGCATTTAAAAAGTCTCATATCCTTGAAAGTTCAGTTTTCTAACAAATTTAAAATTACAGCCTTAAATCTCAATACATGTACTTTCAGCGCAAATACAAAAAAACCTTGCGTAACCATGTTCTGACCACGGCCTTAATATGCTATTTCAAAATCAAATGATTTTAATGCTTAACCAAGTACTTAATTTATTCCGTTGGGAAAGTACTGTTTTCTCTAAACTTCATCATTAAAATTACTGAGGCAAAAATGCTTTGTCCAAATGAATAAAGACATATCCCATTGAACAGTTTTTATAAGCCCAGGGTAAGATCACATAATTACACTCCTTTGGAGTAAATCGAGACAGTAACTAACATTAAAGTTACTTAATTAGAATAATATAGCTGGCGTTTACAGACCCGTCGCGCGAGGTACCTTTAGATGGGAGTTTAAACGTTGAGCGCCATTAGGGACTCATCTTTTCAAAGTCACGAACTTTAAAATAGGTACTTAAACTGTATAACTATCGTCACTGTAAAAGAATATAAAGCACCCAGAAATCACTCGAAGTTCAGAGGGCGTCTATTCCACTTTACTATAAGGGAAGCTACCACAACAGCGTTACGGCTCATTACCCTCGCGCCATTTGTCTCGGGACACGCCCCTCAGCGACCCGCCAAAACGCTCGATTGTATCACGTGGTTATGGTGCACGGAAGCCGCGCTAGAATCCCCCGCAGCGAACCTGGGAAGTCGGTTCGCCCATATATGAATGAAAATGGTTCACTGAAAATATAAATTATACATCAGTGCTTATGTTCAAATTATGCTGAGAATATGTATCATTGATTTATATAAAAAATATTATAGTCCCGTGTATATCACGTTGCTTGATTGACATGTAGGCCCATGCCAAGGAAATATAGTTTGCAACGTGTGCGGTATTTGCACTTAGAAATCGGCTTTGTTTTGCATTATATGTTTGTATGTGTGCATTTTATGTACTTGCCGCTGCTTGCTGAAAAAAAATAAAACGAAAAATTGCCTTAAGAAGTAAATCAACTGTTTGATGCACTGGCAAGGTTCTTTGTATCATTCGTTTTCGTCATAACCATCATTTTCTCCCATGTTTATGCTACTTTATACCTATATTCTACCCAGGGTTTTACCTCATATTGCATAGCAATTAATTTAGTAGTAATAGAAGATCCTGAATAACTGTCCAATCAGATTTAAGGATTAGGAAGCTTTTAATTGGTCTGCTGGTACTTGAGGCTCATAGCTTGAATCAATTTAATCTTACCGATGCATTATCTGTACCACTCGTCCAATACAGGGTCATTTAAAAAGAACATCGTCATATACTGACAAAAATGCAATTTATGTTGTACAGTAAATACTGTAGAAAATGTCTGGAAGACAACTGAGGAGAGGAAACAGAAACTGCTTAAACCCCCAAACATGCAGGTCTTTTGTATGAAACAGCTTATTGTCGAATGATCTTCTTAGTTTCAGTTTCGTATTAGTCAGTGAGGGGACCAAGACGCATTGCCCTGCAAGGGCCTTGAAATGTACTGCAGGGTTATTGTTCAGTCACAGCCATGTATTACTCTGGTTTACAGAATATCTAGTTTGTACACCTTAATGGGGACTCTCACCTTACAGTACGTCTAAGGGGGACATACTTTCAACATTGATACCTTTCCTTCAAATGATGAAATAGAACATTTCAGGAGTCTCACTGTAAACCACAGGGCTACAACACAATCTAAGTAAATGGCAGTACATCACTGCAGTAATCCATTTCATTTACAGTAGATGGCAAGATAGTTCACATGTGCAGCATTAACATATGATATTGTGTGAAAATGAGCAAAAAGAGAAGCTGCATAAAAATTCTATTACACACATTGTTTGGCCGGCTGACACAAAAGTGTTTCTGTAAATCAAACACAAGCACAGAATTACTTCTGTGGAAACAATGTAGCTCATTTTTTCAATATAAAGATTGTGGTTCATTTTACTGCTACCAGAATATGGCATTACTGCACTTACAGTTGGTAATTAAACACAAACAAGTAATACAGCTGTATATAGTGAAGCCACATTTTGTTTGCTGCCTGATCTGTTCCAGTTTCTGCTGACATTAGACACTTGACAATAGCAATTCATTAGATTTGATGTATCACGATATTACAGACAAAGGCTTTTACATTGTTTATGGAGATTAACTCACCTCAACAGCACTAATGTGTAGCACCCAGCTGCAAAATACACAAGATCCATTTCATGGTAGAATGCTTGCCACATATCAGCTTTTGAGGTGATGGGATCAGTTATTTAGGCAATTAATATTCTGGGTAATGATCGTCATGGTCTTTGTGATCTTTATAAGCACCCTCACTGTTCCAATAAACAGCATGCATTTTCACTGACCACAATGAGTCTGCTCTTCCGCATTGGACAATGGTGTTTGAAATTATCCAGATGGAGAATTGTCTTTTACTTTAAAACAGAAATTGCTTATCATGTTGCTCAAATAAAAAGCTCATTTCCTTCACACAGAAGAAAACTTGCATGCAAACGCTACAATGTCCAATTGTTTGACATTGAAAACGAGTAAAAAAAAAACTAAACTGAAAAGCATGCAGTACAGTACGTGTTGATGGCAGGAGAGAAATGAGTCACCTGATTAAATAAAGATGAGAGCACCTCTGGTCAGAGCAGAATCGTGTAGGATGGGGCGGGTGCAGGGGATGGCATGTATATTTGGAGAAAAATGTGTTATTTTCAGGGGTAGGACTTGCATGGAACTAACACTAAACAGTGAAAACACAAAAGGTGAAAGGAGATACAAGGAAAAGAAAATTAAGCATAGTGATGAAAAACCAAAAATAATACTTCCATTTTTAATATTTTGCTCATTTAGTTAACATCAGGATTCCATCTAAGTGAGTAGTGCCAAAATAAAACAGAACATGAAATACAATCAAGTTAGGTAGATGAGTAGAACAAGCTATTTGGTTTGTGTTGATTATTTGATTCTCCCTCCAGAGACGGATGGTCCTTCCCTTCCTACAATAACCAAAATTCTGTTTCTAAATGAAAAAGTTGGGTGATATAAGTTTTAATATACCTATTAAGTATTTTTTTGGAAGGGTGGCTATTGACAGCTTGGGTCCAAGTTCATGCTTATAAAACAGTACTTTATTTAACCTGAAGATGGCAGCATCATTCTCAAGATGCATTTAAAAATAATAATTTGAACCTACGTACTTTTCAAATGGAGTTTGGTGGCCCCTAATTTGGATGCTCAGAACTCCATGTTGAGAATGCTTAATTATCAATGAAATAGGATGTTTCCAGTTGAAGCAAGTATTAAAGCCCTAACAGGATGAACAGATGAATGTGTTTCTTTTACAGTCTGTTTAACGTTAGTGCTATGCTAAGTTGCAGGTGTACTAACTAAACATCTAAACATCACTATATATTAAATCATAAAACAAATATTTTTAGCCCTGGATTGTGATTTCCCAAACCTGTGAAAAACTCCACGATATAATTCTCCTGCTGAGTGTTTAGCCACTTGTTGTTCACAGTATAAATGAGAAAGAAATGTTCCAAATCCTAATACTGGTTGCACGTTATTCAAAACAAATTAAGATACATATATGTATGAAGTAACAAGAAAAATCTAGAAATGTGCATTTCCTGAGGAAAAGGCAGATGTGATTGCTGCATGGCAGCAAGCAAGCTCTATTGGTTGTTGCTATTTATAATACGTAGAAGCCAAGGTATATGAAATTTTTTGATTGGGTGTTCTACAACTAACTTATCTGCTATGCTATTCAAAGTGGTTCTTAAAGTGTTGCTGGCTGGTTGCTATAGTATCATTGCTATGTTGTTGCTAGGTGGGTGCTATGTTATCTATGGTGCTAAGGCTGTTGCAATGCTACTCAATTTGGTTGTTAACGTGTTGCTAAGGTATTGAAGGTGGCTGTTGCTATGGTGTTGCTAGGTGGTTGCTATGGTATTGGTGTGCTATTTAGGGTTGTTGCTAAGGTGTTGCTAGGCAGTTTCTATGGTGTCACTAAAGTAGTTAAGGTGGTTGCTATGGTGTTGGTGTGCTATTTAAGGTTGTTGCTAAGGTGTTGCTAGGCAGTTTCTATGGTCTCACTAAAGTTAAGGTGGTTGCTATGGTGTTGCTGTGCTACCCAGGATAATTCCTATGGTGTTGCTAGGTGGTGCAACAGTGTTTCTAAGAGTTAAAAGAGAGTGTGAGAGTGTTGCTGTGGTATCACTTCGCTACTCAAAGTGGTTGCTAAAGTGGTTTCTAAGGAGTTGCTAGGGTTCTGCTATGGTACTTTATGCGGCACAGTAACTGCAGCTCTTCAATCACACTAAGAAACCTTGACAGTGGGCAAAAGTTAAACAGGGATCAACCACTTTGAAGATTCCCAAAATGAAATAAAAACAAAGAAATGGGATATACTGTATGCAGGGACTGGCAGTATAGACCAAAAATTTATTTTGAAGACCGAATCATGTCCCAAAAAATCATATGGTTTTACTGTGATGTGTCAGAGGAGATCAAAGAAAAACAGCGTCATGTCAGGATTATCTTGGTTGTTTCTCTAAAAAGAACGAGCCACCATCAAAAAAGTCCCGACTTTCGGCACCGTGAGCTCATAACATCCACCCACATCCGTGGGTAAGCCGGTCTTCCTCCAGGAGGGAAATTAACACTTAATGCCACAGAAGTCTCATAGGCTGGGGATGAGCTGAGGAACACAATGAGCCACAGTACAAACCGTGTTGCCCCGGTAATTCAGTTTTGGGTAACACTTTATAATACTGTTCCGTAGTTAACAGGTAAATATGCAGGAAGTAAGCAGCAACAAAGGAGTAGCGCTTCATTAACACCTAAATTGGTACTATTAACTACTAGGAGTTATGCTTATAGTTATAGCAAAAAAAAAAGCACCGTTCATTTGATGAGTAATGAACTAGTAGTTATTAGAAATAATCCATAGTTAGTACATAATTCCCAATGAGACCAGCAATACTCAATAGTTCCTAATGAAGTAATAGCGAACTACTATAATAATTAGTTCACTATTACCTATTGAGTAATTAAGCATAACTCCTTAGTAGTTAATAGTACCAATTTAGGTGTTAATGAAGCGCTACTCCTTTGTTGCTGCTTACTTCCTGCATATTTACCTGTTAACTACGGAACAGTATTATAAAGTGTTACCCAGTTTTGCCTCAGTAAATCTTTGTTGTTACAAACGATGTTGTAAAATAGTCAAATTTCACACAGTGTATTGCAGTTTGAATATCTGTTCCAAAATTACATGCTACGTGGATCGTGATTATTAAGTATTTTGCATTTTCAAGATATCTAAACTTGGCTTGAATCTTTATTAAAATATTAGTTTTGAGTGGTATTCAACCAACAAAGGGAGGGAACTAGTTCAAAAATCTGAAGATTGAAATGGGTGGGTCAATGTATTGTATTACGAAAGTGTAATGTAATACATAGTTTTATAAACAGTTACACAGAAAATATAAAATATAGAAACGTACAGTACTGCTGTCGCTTTGAATAAATGATAAACTTTGACGTAAGTGCTACTAATGCTGTTCAATGCTGACACCTAGTGGTTATTTGTAGGAAATACCAATTTTATGCCACCCAGTCAGAGTACAAGATATATGGCGATCTCATTGTAAGAACAGAGGCCATATTGTCATGTCTGTCAACAGATTTGTGATAATATGACCCACAATGAAATCGCTCCATGTACACGTGTGCTACAGATTCATAGCACTTTAAAACAAATTTGAAACTAAATAACTGATGAAAAGATTTAGGTCAAAATCTGCATATTATCTATACGTCTACAGAAGTGGTCTCGTAAAAGAAGGTACAATGAAAAGTAAAAGGTACACAATATCTCTATATTTATTGCTGTTTTAAAGCAATCCATAGACAATATACACACAAACTGTATTTCAAAATGGTGCCACTTATGGCTCTTCTGTGTACAAAGTAATATTGAAAGAAAAGAATCCCACCAAGCGGGATGGACCAAAAAGTATGTAGCGGGGGTTACGAGGAGGATAATCATCGCTACAAAGATTCACTGCCATTTTGGATAAAAATACATGTATAAAAACAATGTAGAATCACTTACTTCACAGTTTGTGTGATATCCCACCAGGCAGAGGGGAAGAAGTGTCTATACACCC